TGTTGGTTATTGGCTGATTCAGAAGCTCTGCTTGACTTTAACTGTTTATTTAACTCTGCAGGTCTATCCAGAAGGTAACCCTCTTGAAGCCAACATTGTCACATTTGTTCAGAGACTCCTGGACGACTCAGAAGGGAGAGAACACTTCCTCAAAGTGTGTCTCTGCTTTTGTCTTACAGTTAGTCTAAATATAAATAGGTGAGGGTGTTTAATAGTAACTTTTCGCCTGATAGAATGTGTTTCCTGTGGCGTATGGGCCCGACTTTGACACAGCACTGGAAAAGCTTCTCTGTGACTTCTTCTCCAAACTGGAAGAGCTGCTGCCAGTACCAGACTTTAAACAGGTAGAGGTCCACAGTCTTTACCTGTAAGAAATGACTATTTTTAGGGTGTTTTCACAGATTAGCAGTCTAAGGCCTGTGCATTAAAATCATATTATTTATCTGATAAAGGCTGCTTTGTGGATCAGTGATACACCAGCTGAGGTAGAGGAGTACATGCACTGTGTAACTGAAGCTGATGACATCAAAGTATTGCTCAGAACCAGGCCTCGCAATAGTGAAATGGCCAAGATAGATTCAAGTGGTGAGTCTGTCTGCCTTTCTTTTCTCATTCACATCCCCCCGCAACCATAGTCAAACTAATGATGCTTAAGCCGGGGGTCTTTCCTGTTTAAAAGGGTTCTTCCTCCTCAGCATCTCCAAGTGCTTGCACACAGAGAGTGATCTGATCATTAGGATTCTCTTCACTCTGTAGGCTCTTTACCTGACAGTCTGTAATGGGTTCATAATGTGTGCTACATACAGTATAAGATGCCTTGAAATGACTGCTGTTGCTGAACTGAGGCTCTATAAATAAAATTTAAGTGTATATGTGCACTTAATCAGAGTTATGTATTTGTCAGATGCAGTATTTCTATTGTAGGTCCTGTGATTGACATTGGGAGCTGTGTTTTGGATTTCTATAGCCAAATACCTTCAGTTAATTGAAAAAGATAAAAATGCATTGGTATTGGATGCAGTTATTTTTATTGACCCTTTTCTTTTTGAATTCTTAATTCCTCTTTCAAACAGTGCCATCTCCCTCAGAGCAGCGGCTTTTTTCCTCGTTGTCGCTCCCCGTCTCCCTGATAGACAACAGCGCCAAAGATGTGGAATCAAATGCACCAACTTTCGAAAACCAAAGAGTGTCTGAAGCAGCTGCCTTTCAAGAGCCCAGAGATGGTGACATGTGGGATACAAGATGGCCACATGAGGAAGAGTCTCACAGCGCAGAACAAGAGGCGGGAGGAAAAGACACCGACAGCATTCCTGACACACATGTTGTGGAGGAGTGTGGTGACCAAGCTACAACAACTCGCCAAGCTCCCTCTTCATCTGCTGAGAGTCATGTGGTATCCAGCTCTGTGATCGGCCCTCTCAGACAGAGAGTTGCACAGAAATGCACTCAGTGTGGGAAGTGCTTCATTTACAAGTATGAACTCCTGGAGCATCAGCGGCTGCACACCGGAGAAAACCCTTACAAGTGCTCTCAGTGTGGGAAAGCTTTTCGGCGGAGCTCTGATCTATCAAGTCACAGGCGGACACAGTGCAGAAAAGCAGCGTACATTTGCATCAAATGCGGGAAAAGCTTTCAGTCTATGCAGGAAAAATGTAGACACCAGTGTGTTCATAGCATCCACAAGTTTGACTGTCCTTACTGTGGGAAAAGTTTTAAGAAAATGTACCTGCTGGCTAAGCACAAGCTGACTCACAACCAGAACCGCATTTTCACATGCAGACAGTGCGGGGAGGTATACCCGGGTATAAGCGAGCTAAGATCACATCAAAAGATCCATCCTCCTCAGCTGTCCAATCAGTGCCAGCAGTGCGGGAAGTTTTTCAGCTCGGCTGCGTGTTTGACTGCTCACCAGCTGCGCCACACACAGCAGAGGACACAGATTTGCACACGCTGCGGCAAAGCCTTCAAGAGCAAGCATGATCTGAACCTTCACATGCGCAGTCATACAGGCGAGAGGCCCTTTCAGTGCACCTACTGCGAGAAGCGTTTCTCCGTGTCAGGAAACTTGAACGTACACGTAAGGATTCACACAGGAGAGAAACCGTACCTGTGCTCCGACTGTGGCAAGGCTTTCATTTCTGCCGGAGAGCTGCAGATACACAGGCGCACCCACACGGGGGAAAAGCCATACAAGTGCTCGGTGTGCGGGAGAGGATTCACCAGGGCGAGCAAAGTGACGCTCCACATGCGTGTTCACACTGGGGAACGCCCCTACGAGTGCTCTGAATGCGGGAAAGGCTTTTCACGTGGCAGCGAACTGAAAAAACACACAATGAACCATGCAGGAGTCCGGCCCTACGCCTGTCAGCTGTGTGCAAAAACGTACACGTGCCTCAGTCACCTGAAAAGACACTTAAAATCTCACAGTGTAGTCCAGTCTCAGACCCTCTGATTCTACTGACTATCAAATGGTCTTTTGCCATTGATGAGGTCTTTGTGCAGTGACACTGTACACACTGTTGCTGACTTCATGCACTGCATCATAGGATTTGGACTTTGTTTTCTTCTTTTCTTTTAGAGACTCCTTCCTTATCCTCCATTTAAAATGTCACTCTCAAGTGCAGCTTCTGGTCCTGACATACAGATGTTTTGTTTGTTGTGTTGTTTTTGTTTTATTTGTTTTCTGATACCCTAAAATGTGATTTTGAAGTCATCCAAGAAAACGGTGTCCTTCTGCGTTTATTAGTGCCTGTATTATTATTATTATTTTTCCTTCTATGAGGTAACACTGACTGGAGTAGTATTATTTACCAGTGACACTGTTCAATATTGTAAACACAGAATAAACTAGATAATTGCCACCTATTTGTCCTATTTGTTGCTCTACAACAGCCTGATATCCACTTATGAGGACCTTATACTGTCACTGTTCTATTTAACCCTTGTATGGTGTTCGGGTCTGTGAGACCCGTTTTCAGTTTTTCTCAAAAGAAAAATTAAACAATTAATTATTTTTTCAACCTGAAATTCATTGGCTTTGGCTTATTTTCTGTGAAGAACATAAATCCGAACTAATTTTCAATGACCTCATACTGTACCTCCCCCCACGCATTTACATTACATACAAGGTGTTTGGGTCCACTGGACCCAGGCCTAATAAAAGTGTTGAAAGTGCAGGTCCTGTGTTCCCACACTCTGTCTTCCTCCTCTCTGGTGCTGCTGATAGTGTTTTCTTCCCCTCCTGCTCCCGCACAAAGTTGCAACATTGTTGAAAATTCAACTATCAACACCGTCTGCTCTTACATTCCTGCACATTTTACCCTCTTTCTTGAGGGATCCAAATTTTATTTTCTCATACCCTGTCCCTCCTGCAAATTAGGGGCATAATACTATAAATAAGACTTTTGGTTCTTTATCACAACTGATCAAGATGGCAAAAGATTATCTGCTGCGAGGGCCATCCAATTGATTTTGGAAGAGAGAGGGGCTTCGGAGGATGATGTTGACAAAGAGGGTTCAGAATATTTCACATTTCTGAAAATTCAGAGTTTGACAGTGACTTTGAAGAAGAGGATGAGGTTGAGCACCATTTAGTAACCAAACAAAGATGAGTACCCCATCTGCTGCCAGCTCCAGGACCAGAACAAGCCCACCAGACAGCAAGTGAAGAAATATGGATGTCAATAACTGGTGAAATTGAATGGTCTTCTTGCCCAAGAAATGAGCCACCCTACAGAGCTGTTACTGTGATAAGCCAGGGCCAACACGGCTGACAGTTACTCATGTGCAGGACATCAAGTCTTCATTTGAGCTTTTCATCCCAGATTCCAACCAGAAAATTATTCTAGATTGCAGTAATCTAGAAGGAAGGTGTTTTTTTTGGAGAGAGGTGGAAGGAGATGGACCAAATTGATCTGCAGGCCTACTTTGGGGTTCTTATCCTTGCAGGAGTTTTGAGGTCCAAAGGGGAATCCACAGAATCCTGTGGGATGCAGAAACCGGCAAGAACCTTTCCATGCATCAATGTCTCTGGAAAACTTCCACAAAATTTCCAGGATTATCCGTTTTGATAACCAAGATGACAGACCAGCTCGACGGCAGAGAGACAAGCTAGCTGCCATCAGGACAGTGTGGGATAAGTGTGTGCGCCACCTCCCCCTGTTTTTTACCCTGGGCCTAATGTCACCATTGATGAACAGCTGATCCCATTTAGTTGTGAAACATATTGCTTCACGTGTAAATGTGTTGTCTTTCCACTCACTCCACTTGATTATAACTGATCTATTTTTTATAACATTTTATAAAAAAAATAAAAAAAAGAGACACATATTAATTCATAAATGTGATCTAACAAAGGTAAAGGGAAAAAATTAACCATGTTTACTGTTCATATGGCTTGTAATTGGGATGAAGTAAACATCTGTTGAGTAATTTAACATAAAATTGTTTGATAGTGTTAATTTGGAAAGCCAAAACTCTAGCGGGTCCACCAGACCCATGAACACTGGCTGAGTAACAAAAATATGAACACCACACAAGGGTTAAATTTAAAAAGAACATCTTCATATGTGGATCTTATTTTCCTCTGAAACAAAAATAAGGTAAAACAAACAAACTGCTAATTCTTTGTTTTTACATTCATCAGCCCAAATGGCAAAGAGAAATTAAAAATGCATGTAATGAAAGAGTTTGGGTCTTAGGAGGTTAAACATCCTGCTGTGGGTTTGTTTAATGTGTTTCTGTGTTTAAAATAATAAAGTCACACCGTCGAAACAAATGAAAAATTACGTTTAGTTGAAAGTAAAAAGTTTCTAACTCTTATTCCAAAGCTGAAATGGCAGTAGTTTTTTTATTACTTTGTTTACTGTATTTTTTTTATTTTTTTAGTTGTTGATTCTTTTTTTTACACTTTACGTTGTAACGTCTGTTCCGAACTTAAAATATGAGCATAACAACAGTGTACGAACTGTGTAATAAAATACAGTTGAGCCAGGTCTTTACGCTACCCTTTATTATTTAGATTTTTCGGAGGCGTGGTGCGTTTACAAAAGTAAATGGGACTCGTTGTGTACGGGCTGCCCCGTAAAACAAAACGAACCTCCCTGATGAACCTACTGGCCCAGCGCTCCTCGCGATATGAACAGCGTGCTTCAGGAAGAAGTTGGCGCCTGAAGCCGTATATTCGGTTAGCTACTACACTAGCCGATATTATGAACGAATTAGCTGTTCATGTTGCGTTTTCCTTCCATCGTTGCTAATGAATTCTACAATGAATGATATGGGTAAGTGTTACCTCGTGGAGAGCAACAACATGTTGTATTTTCGCTTGTTATGTGGTTAGCCGACTAGCCAAAGAGAAGGATTACTGGGAGCTGAGGAGGCCTCGACTAATCTCTGGAACAAGAATTGTTTTGCTCCCCGTTAAGCCGGGTTTTGCCCTGTAGCCAGCAAGTTAGCTGATGCTCTAGATATGGAAGAAACAGTGGGGATTGTCCGCGTTTCCAAACATTTTATTTGCATGAAAAGGCTTGCTTCAGTGTATCAAATGCGGTTAAAAAATCGGTCTATTAACAGGCATTTATAACGCGATTCCTTTTAAATAAAGTAACTAGCGTTAAGCTACCACTAGCTGTTTACCCATCTAACCTGCTCATGCCTCCGTAATAAACTCACATCGTCTCTTTGTCTTTGTGGTTAATTTAGTGTAAAACAACTGAATTTTATCCTATTTATGCACACAAACCTGGTGCTTTAGGCTAAGGACGGGCTGTAGTCTTGTGTTTCTGCAGCTCATGGATGGACAGTAGCGATGGTGAACAGACGGTGCTGACAAGTGGTTTTATTGTACAAAAAACAGTATCTCCCACTCATTTACCTTCTTCCTATTGACATATTTAAGGCACGGTCAACTATTTACATTAATAACATTTAATCTAGCCTTTGAAACAACGAAGGGGATCTCTGTTCTGCCTCAAAGTTAAATATTCTCATGTAAACTCGGGTCCACAGAGGGGTACCAGGTTCTTAATTAACCTGACTGACAGCCTGTTTGACCCAGTCTGTTTTCTCTCCAAAGAATTCAGTGTTCCCCTGTCCTCGCTGGCTCTCCTGGTCCCACCACTCCGCCTTATGTCTGCTGTGATGTGGGAAGTGGTGCGCCAGCGGAACATAAAGCACTATGGGAAACTGGAGGAGTTTGTGTCCATGGTAACAGATGCAGTTCCTGAACTGATGAGTAAGAGGGAAGGGAGGCTGCTCTCACTGGGTCTGAGAGCAAGGGTAAGTGAAATGTCTGGATCGCATGACGTGTGTAAAAGGAGCTATTCAAATGAGACGAGGACGCGAGGCACGTGTTAATATTATAAACTACGCTTCTTCTAGACAACTCTTGAACTGCTGCGTTCTGAACACCCTGAAGATCTCAAGGCGGTTCAGAGCCACCTTAACCGAATCCAATCTTCCTGCATCGAGGAGGTGGGTGAGCCTGTTAGCGTATTTTAATTTGGAATATATAAATGGCTAATTTGTAAAAATCAAAAAATGATGAAAACATAACTGTTTTCAGGATTGTTCAAACAAATTGATTTTTTTAAAGAAGTAATTCAACAGTAATAATGAAAATAATTATTAGCTGTTGACCTATGACCTGTCCTGTGGTTATCTAGACCAATGATCCTGTAATTGAAGCACCAGAGGCAAACTTTATGAAGTTGGTGCAAGGCCTCATTGAAGACACGGATGGCAGAGAACACTTTCTCAAGGTAAAGTTGGGACTGACAATGTTTGAATCACATTTAAAAATGTGATTATAATAACATGTGTAAAAGGACGAGGTTGTATGTTGACAGTACAGATCTTTCTTTTTTTCTTTTTTTCCCATGTGGCAGAATGTGTTTCCTGTGGAGTACGGCCCTGACTTTGATACGGCGCTCGAGACCCTAGTTTGTGAGTTTTTCACAAGACTCGAGGAGCTGCTGCCAATACCAGATTTCAAACAGGTACAGAGAGGATCTTTTTAAGATGATAAAATAAAGGAGCACTTTTAAATGTGCTTTTTTTGTGCCTGTGTCTCACAGACTGCATCCTGGATTAGTGCTGCCCCTTCAGTCCTAGAGGAGTATATGCAGTGCGTGTCCAACGGAGAGGACCTTAAATTTCTTCTCCAGAGTAAACAGTGCCACGGGAAATTAGCAAAGAGCAGCATTGGTATGCATATACTAGTCAGTGCATCTTCTTTTAGTTCAAGATGTGGGACTATATTAATATTTGTTTCCTGTTTCTTTTCATGCAGCTCCATTTCAGTCAGATGATCTTCTGATCCCCTCGCTGTCTCTCCCTCCATCTCTGGAAGTAGCCATCGCTTCCCACCCGAGTGCTTGTGATGATGAAAATAATGACGTCCCTCAGATTGTCATGTTTGACGAAGAGCTGTCCACAAACCCTTCCACCTCAGCTGACTTTCCCGAATCTCCAAAAAGGGCCGATGTTACTTCGTCTCCGCGCAGGAGACAGCAGTCAGGAATCCATAAATGCCCCGAGTGTGACAAGTGCTTCAAGCATCACTCTGTCCTCATTGAACATCAGAGAGTCCACAGCGGGCTGCAGCCCTACAACTGCTCTGAGTGCGGGAGGGCTTTCCGAACAGCCACTCTGCTTGCTGGACACAGGCTGCGGAAATGCAAAAATGCGGCATATCTTTGCATCAAATGCGGGAACAGTTTTCCAACGTCACTGGAGAAATTCAGACATCACTGCCCGAAACGAGGACGTAACTACGACTGCGGGCAGTGTGGAAAGAGTTTTCCAAAGTCCAGCAGCCTGAAGGAACATCTGCTAACTCATGTTCAAAGCCGCCTTTTCAAGTGTAGCCACTGCGGGATTGGTTTTTCAGGAATAGGTGACCTGAAGTACCATCAGCAAGTTGATCATGAGAAGCCTTATCAGTGTAAGCAATGTGGAAAGAGCTTCATCTCCTCAAAGAGTCTGGACAAACACCAACAAAGGCATGAAGAGGTTGGTGAAATGGACACCCTCAAGTTAATGAGTGGAGATAAACACAGGAAAAGTGGCTCGAGTCATCGGACATCAGTGTCTCTTTCCTCCAGGAAGAGGTCCGTCAAAGCAGTCTACCAGCGAGGAAGAGTCACCCATAACTGTCCGCTGTGTGGCAGGAGCTTCAAATATCGCTTTGAGTTTCTTGAACACCAGAGATTCCACACAGCTGTGAAGCCTTACAAATGCTCTCAGTGTGGAAAAGCCTTCCGCACCGAGGCTCACCTGTCAGGGCACAGGAAGAGGAAGTGTAAAAACGCCGCCCACATTTGCACCAAGTGTGGGTGCCAGTTCAGGTCCATGCATGAGCGCGTCAGACACCAGTGTGTCCAGTTGCTGACGAAATATGAATGCTCTCATTGTGGGAAGACCTTCAAGATGGCTCATCTGTTGAGGAACCATCAGATGAGTGAACATCAGCTCCCCTACAGCCCCAACCATCGCTTCAGGTGTAGATACTGTAACGAGACCTTTCCTGGGATCAGCGAGCTCAAGTACCATCAGAGGGTCGACCACGAGAAACCATATCAGTGTCAGGAATGCGGCAAATGTTTCCTCTCCGAAAAATGCCTGGCCAATCACGAGCTCCGCCACAACGACGACAGACCGGAGAGCTGCCTGGTGTGCGGCCGCGGCTTCAGAAACCGCTATGATTTGAAGCAGCACATGCGCACTCACACGGGAGAGCGGCCCTACCAGTGCACTCACTGCTCGCAGTGCTTCTCCACGGCCGGAGGACTGAGGAGTCACACCAGGGTTCACACGGGCGAGAAACCGCACGTTTGCCCAGACTGCGGGAAGGCTTTCTCCCAGATGGGGGCGATGCGCACGCACAGGCTCACTCACACGGGAGAGAGGCCGTTCAAGTGCACGGTCTGTGGCAAAGGTTTCACAATGGCGCACAAAGTCACAGTTCACATGCGCGTGCACACGGGGGAGCGGCCGTACGTGTGCTCCCAGTGTGGGAAGGCCTTCTCAGACGGAAGCGTGTTGAAGCAGCACATGCTGAACCACTCGGGGGTGCGACCGTATCACTGCCAGATCTGCCCCAAGACTTACACCTGTCTGAACCACCTGAGGAGGCACCTGAAAAGCCACTCAAACATGAGCTGAAGCAGGCATGAAGGAAAACTGACATTATCTAAGAAACTTTCAATGGACCAACTAAACCAAGCAATACGGGAATGATGCCGATTGGCTGTTGTAGAAAGTGAGGCGAGGAGATTCGGCTCCTGTTCTTCATCCATTAGTTCGAGATTGTTCCAACCAGCACAAACAAATTCTTCCCTCTTTTCCCATCTGGCTTTGGTTGTTTTGTTTTGTTTTTTCTTCTGTGCATCAGTTTCTCATGCGTGAATGCAATGAGATGTTAGTTGGAACTTACTTTTTCCAGACCTCCCTAATAGTTACAGAGATAAATATTTGTCTGAACTTCTGATTATTGATCCTGATTCTTAGTGTCGGTTGTGACAGTTGTTAGACCCAGCTCTCGATCACCACACTTGTGAAAATGATGAGGTTACCGTGATTAACTGACCGGGGCAGACTGCAGCTCTGATGATGATAAGATTCAACGCTGTCTCCTAAACATCACAATCCCCCCTGCAGCTAAGCTGACAGTTAAGTTGGATGACAAAGCATAGATATAAAGGGTTCAGCAGAGATTTGTTGCTACGTTGCACATTTGAGAGCACAGGGGCATACATCCCTCTTCTGGGCCTGAGCCACAAGACTTTAAGCCAGGAAATTTGACTCACATGTTGGCCCTTTGTATTTGTTAACTTAGTTTCATGATTTTTTTTAAAACCTTGGTTAGTGTCAGACCCAAAACGGCTTGGTTCAGTTTCAAAATAAGCAGCGCGGTTTGGGTTTAAATTGGCCTTTTTTTACAATTGTAATCACACAGAAGCTTCTCCTCTCTTTCCTAAGTCATGAGTAACCACAATGTCTAATATATATATTGGTTGTCTAATAAGAAGCAGTCAAAAGGAATGCCAGAGACCGAAAGGGCAAATGTGATTATTTGAGATTGCAGTTTGTCATGCGAGGGGTGTAATTTTCAGAAGGCAAGGCTCATTTGTTTAGTAAATGTTTGCAGTAAAAGCTAGAGTAAATACTGAACAGAGCTGCAGCAGAGTCGGGTCCTGTGTGGATTGTCAGTGCTTTCTTGGCTAATGTTAAGAGTCAGCTAAGAATGTGCCATGTGAAGTGTCACCTCAGGTGCTGCCAGAGCATTTAAGCATTATATCCGGTCTACACAAACACCAGCTCTGCTTCACATGGATCAGGGGAGACGGATAAAAGGAGTTCAGAGAATATTTTGTCACTGAGATGATTGGGGTGGGGGGGCATGTGCTGTATGTCTGAGGTGGATGAAGATATAGTTTGGGAAAAGGAGGTAAAAGTTGCAGAGGTGGAAAAAATGTTCTCTGTAAATATGCTGGATGACAAATAAGTGTGAGTTTGTAAAAGTTAAAAAGCCCATTTTCTTTTTGTTGTTTTGTTTTTTTCACCTTTTGTATTCTCTCTGTGGTTTGAAAGGTTTGTGAATTTCAGATTAAATTCCCTTCGTTACTCCTTATCTCTGTTAAGTTTTTTTCTTTCTCAGAAAAACAAAAGGTGTCTGTATTAGACTTCAGTTTCACTAGATGGCAGTAGGTGACTATTAAGCAGTTTGCCATGCACTGATGCGTGTTAGTTAACCAGCAGAGCTGATATAATGACTGTCTATCATCAAATTATTTATTTGTCAGGAAAACAAATACAGCTTTGCAGCTGTGGCCCATGTCCCCTTTATCTGCTTTCTTTGGCACAGCTTGGAAGTTTGATTAAAGCACAGTTTCTTCTCGTTTCCTCATTTCCTCACTGGGGTCCCGCCATTTCTGAAGTGTTTAAAGTCGGCATAAAAAGCATCACCACATTTTTATCTAGCTTTTAAATTCAATTCTCTACTTTGCGTCCAGCTAAAAAACAGCTGGATTCGGACCACTTTGTTCCCAGTTTTGTGTTTTAACTTGAAATTCAGGCAAACATGATGTGTCATTATGTAAGAGACGCATTACCATTAATTTCTTCCATCTGTGCTGAGTTTTATGGGATTTTTTTTCCTTTGGGGAAAAAAAGAAGCTCTGTTTGTCTTTTTTCAACTTCAGGTTTTTTTCTTACTCCCCATCCCAGTTACATCTCATCCATGCTCACTCGTCCATAGCAACCTTTGAGTTTTACTCTCTCTCAAAACAAACCCATTTCTCTGCCATTCACAGGGAGGTGCAACCACCAAAGTTGGCTGTCGTAATGATTTAAATGTTGCAAGATGTTAGCATCTTCTGGATGGAGGTGCGTTGGCTGCCTTCCTTCTAGCTTACTAAGAAATCCTACTGATTTCCTGTGAACATTGGTCTTCTCTGGAAGCACCCCGAGCCTCTCGTCTCCTGTTTCTTCACATGTATAGCTTAAGCTTTTGCTTCTAGTGAATGAAACAGATTCCAGTCCAACTTGTCAGATTCATAAATTCCAGGGGGTTGTGTAACTCACAAAAACAAAGCTTAAAGCAGAGCTCTGTTTGTGCATTCCTGTGAGTTTTACTATGGAATAATGTATTCCTGATGAAGGCACGTATTGTGAAATGCATGCATCACGCTTCATGCTGAGCACCACATCTGCCAAAAATCCTACAGATTTACAATGAGAGCCTGCTAATAAATACAGATCATAACCAGATGTGTCCCCCCCCTCTCTCTTCCTAGTCCCTCCTCCTCTCCCTTCTTTGCTCTCCTTCTCTCCCTAACTCGGTGATCTCAGTGGAAAATCTGAGTCCAGGCCAGACCTTCGATGCCTTCACACACATGTCGGCAGCAACTGTGCAGCATCCACCTCCCCCCCACCCTGCCAAATGAACGCCCCCTCTTTCCAAAGTAGCTTCCAAGGTCAGCCCTCAACCAGCGCTAGATGGCGCTGCTTCCAAAGGGTCAATAGAGACACCATCCCACCGCAGCGCGCTCCCACGCCCTTCTCGTCTTGCTTTTATGTTCAGGTTGGTCTGGACTTTTAAAATGAACCAGATGTGTTAAAGCTCCACCCACCAACCCCCACCCCATCTTCCGCAGATTTCTGCAGGAATAGAGCTCAAAATGCTTCCAAGATGTGCGCCACATGGTTTTCATTAAGCAACATGAAGTGATTTCAGCTTCATCTATTCTGGTTTGCGTTTCTTGATTTTTGTGGGTGACATGTAGGCAGTTTGATGAAGGGGCAGCCGCGTAGTGACCAAATAACATTAAAGGGGCGTTCTCTATAAACGATGTGAAACTGAAAAACTAAATGTCCAGTTTCCACATTTTCTCTTTATGCCAAAATAAAAAGAATCAGCTCTGTGAATGCTGAAGTCTCGCTGACAGTCACCAGTTTATTGTTTGGCCCCTTTTAAGGAAGCGTGCACATCTGGGTAATTGGCGTAAACTGCTGGTCCGTGCGCGCTCTGGTACATTGCTTCTCATCAGCTTCCTTAGAGAAAGCTTTACAAACTCCTCCTCCTCCTCCTGCTCCCCCCTCCTCTCCCCTCACCGTGCGCTCTGGTCCTCCTCTGCGCGCTCTTGGGTTTCGCCTCGGAGAAACCTCAGACCTCTGGATCGCCAAAACTTCACGAAATCAGTTTAGAGGTGTGGGGCTTGGGGCCGCAGTTGTTTTTTGTCGGGGGTTGGGTGCCGTGGTTTAGTTGTTCTTTCACAGTTTAATCATGGAGACTCTCAGAAGTCTCCTCGCGCTGCTGTGCGTTTTCATGGCTGGAGCGCAACAGCAGGACCAACGGCGCAGAGTTGCTGGTAGGTTTGCTGAAAACATCTGGTGCTTTCCAAGCAGATGTTCTAGTGCGATTCTTTTGCACTTGAAGTGTGTTTATTGTGTCGAATGCAATGAAGTCGTTTGTTTGCTGTATTTTGATGCACTAACAACCAAGATGATAGAATCCTAGTCCGCTATCGTTTTACCTAATGGTCATGTGAGGTGTTGGCTGTAAAGCAGACTGATATGTGATGTCAGAGTAGCCGAGAACCTCAGGCCGGCTCCCCCACCGAGGTGACAGGAGTCATAGGACAGGTGTTTGTGCAAACAGCCATGTTATAGATGCAGATAGTCTGCTGAGGTTTCCTACCTGTATGACATGATCAGCCAATGAGATGATCTAATGTTGCTCATTATAATGAGCTGTAGGCCTCTGGTGCTGAAGTAATGACTTCTGCTGGTTTCACCAGTGTTGAAGCTGATTGTTAACACGTTTAGAGAAATCTAAGCAGCTAGAAATCACATTAGTTGGATCATTTTTTCGTTCTTCTTCATTTTTTTTTTTAAATCGTGGGATTATATTTGCTGATCACAGTCATTGATTATCTGCTTTGTGAACAGAGTGTCCTGTTGACCTGTTCTTCGTCCTGGATACATCTGAGAGTGTTGCCCTCAGAAGGACACCGGATTCCTATTATATTGACCAGATCAAAAATTTCGCCAAGGACTTCATAGATCAACTCAAAGACATGTAAGAAACACACACACACACACACACACACACACACACACACACACACACACACACACACACACACACACACACACACACACACACACACAAATTACCTTCAGTTCTGGAGGAAGTGTTCAGGTACCAGTAAGGAGCACTGTACAGCATACTCGGATACACTGTGGGCGTGGCTACAGGTGCAGAGTCCTTTTGGCCTACCCACCACACCCACTACTTACAGTGGCTGTAGTTGGGGAAATGTAACATAGAGTAACTTTTAAACACCTGGGCTTAGATTTTTTTAATCAAATGACAGAACTCTGCCAATTACTTTTATATGAAATATAATGGGATGAAAGTGTGAAGCAGAATGAAAAAGAAAAACTTAAAGAAAGCCCTCTGACTATGACTGTGATTGAATCTGCATAGTTCTGGTCCACCCCTGCCTGTCTGTACCATGTTTGATTTTAATACCATTGCTTATCCAGGCGCCACCAGTGTGACCGCATCCTGACATGGAACTCAGGAGCGCTGCACTACAGTGACGAAGTCAAACTGGTGAAGGAGCTGAGTGACTTGAATACCGAACGCAATGCCCTGAAGACAGCCATCGACAACATCGCGTACATCGGCAAGGGCACGTACACCGACTGTGCCATCAAGAGGGGCCTCGCTGAGCTGCTCATTGGGTAATAACAGCACGCGCATAGTTTCATCCTGAAATAATAAAGACGCTGACAACATTTCTGAATGTGTTTGCATACGTGTGTACCTGCTTGCAGGGGTTCCCATTACCATGAGAACAAGTATTTGGTGGTGGTGACTGATGGACATCCTATTACTGGTTACAAAGAGCCATGTGGAGGTGTGCAGGAGGCTGCTAACGAAGCCAAGCTACACGGGGTCAAAGTGTTCGCTGTCGCCATCTCACCTGACCAGGAGGTACAACGCATACACACACATACAGATCATTTATTAAACTTTGCACAAATGAAGCCGTGCATTGCTCAAATACATTTTGGGGGAGTTAAGGTTTGGCGTGTCATTTTCACTAATTAGCTATTATAAGTTAATTTTGATTTCAGAGTTTGATACTTAAATCAGTTTCAGTCTTATTTTCATGGGTTTATACTTACATAGCCATGTGTACATGATAACGGTTATTTGATCTCTGATGAAGACATCTGTTCTAGTTTTTTTAAATTGTGAAATATAAGGGATAAGTCTTATGATTATAAACCAAATCCTGTTTGCAAATGCATTAAGACAGAAATGTCATACTAAGAAGATGTTTTTCTTTGGATGATCTGGTCAACTCAGCTTTCTGATGCCATATGAAGCTAAAGAGTGTAGTCCACTTTTTCTCTTTTTCTCAAGTGTTCAGATAATGAGGTCAGAGTGTTAGCTAAGGCAGCTCTAGGCTCTGCTGGATATCAGTAAAAGCTGAAACTTCTAATATGGCTATATCAGGTTGTAAGCACAGAAGCTCCTCCCACCTGTTTCTGTTTCTGAGCACCAGCCAATAAGATGAAAACAGGCAGTAAGGAGGAGGGAGGGATGCTTAATTTCAGACAGGTCATTGAATTGATGGGTTGTAGGATGACTCGATTAAAGATAAACAAGGCTTGTTTAGACTGTGAATCATGCAAACGTGGAGCAAAAAAAAAAAAAAAAGAGCATAAAAGGTCTGCTTTAAAGACAAATCCAGCATAGCTCAAGTGTAAACCCCACAGCACAGTGAAACAGTTTAAGAGACAGTGAATTGAAGAAAATAGAATTCTGGAAAAACAAATTATTATCTTTCGAAATGTTTTTGATTCCACCATGGCTTCTTTAGATTAAACAGATATACAGATTAAACTCTGCATGCACTGTATTGAAAATGCTTTTTTTTTAATGTGTTCTGTTCACAGTCAGTTAAAAACAAGTATCATTAATCTTAATACCATGTTATGCCAGGAATCTCTGCGTGGTGGATTTCACAATTTTCCTCTACCGGCTAATGTCAGGAAGAACATGTTGGCAGATGTTAATCTTAATCATTCGGATACTAGTGTGGCCAGATCGTAGATAAAGATGTTTGTGTTTGATTTACAGGAAGCCAGGCTGTCTCTCATTGCCACAGACCGCAACTACAGACAGAACTTCACTGCTGCAGATGACCTCAGAACCAGCAAGATGGCAACCATTGAAACCATCATTAACATGATCGTACGTCTCTTCTCTTCTCTTCTCTTCTCTTCTCTTCTCTTCTCTTCTCTTCTCTTCTCTTCTCTTCTCTTCTCTTCTCTTCTCTTCTCTCTCTCGTCTCTGAACATTGAAACATTTGGATTTCAAACTAACTCCTGGTTTATCTCTTCTTTCCAGACAAATGAAACAAAGGATGTGGTATGTCCAATTATTTATTTATTTATTTTTATTTAGATAAAGTTAACTTCACTGCTTGTTGCATGCTTTGCTGCAGAAGCCGGCCTGGGTTTTCTCATGTTTGGGGCTGAGAAGGCTGGCTAGAAAAAAAAATGTCACCAATAATGTTCAGCTCTTGTTTGTTCAAACATATTTTTGGCTGAGTAAATATTAAGCACTGTGCTTTTAAAGAAACAGCCTAACATCTTATTTGTATCTGATGAGCTCTGCTGATTCATTTTGAGTCAAAATGCAGTATTTAAAAACCAGGGTTCTCTGCTGTACTCTTTTTTTTTTTTTTTTTTTTTGTGCTGCATATTTCAATTCAATTCAGTTTTATTTCTACAGCACCAATTTACAACAGTTGCCTCAAGGTCCTTGAGGCAAGTGAACATCTCAGTGAATCTTCACTGAGATGTAAACTTCACTAAACAACTTCACTAAACAGGAAACTAGGAGAGGTCACTGAGGGAACACACTAGATGCTACAGCCACCACATCCAAAAGCTAATTGAGATTACTGCGATTACTATTAAAACTATAATAGCTTGTTTTGTTTTTACCGCTGTGTATGTGAGAGGTTCAGGTGACACCAGAAAACATGGTTTTTTTTGTATTTCCAGTGTGATCGCACCCGCCTAACAGCATGTCTTACTTAGATTTGAGCAAAACTAAGTATCCAATCTTCTGTACAGCCATAGACGCACAGACACACTTTTCATTTTTTAAAATCTTTTGTTCTTTTTTTCCAGTGTTGCTCGTTTGACTGCGTTGTAAGTACTACCTTTTTTATTTTATAAGTCACAAGCGTGATTTCTCTTTGGACTATATTTTTGGAGCTAACTTTTGTTTGCCTACAGGCTCCTGGAGGGGACAAAGGACCAGATGGAGAATCTGGCTCTAAGGTGGGATAGCTGTTGGGAAAATTGAGAGATGTAGTTATGTACAGATCTCCAACCGTCCCATTTAAACCTTGTTGACTAACCTCCATCCTCCCCTTCTCTCTACAGGGAGAAATAGGTAGACCAGGGATGCCAGGAGAGAAGGGAGATGTTGGTGATGTGGTAGGTGGCTTCCTCCAATAATAAGCATAAAAAGTATGTGGCATCCAACACTTGGTGCACCTGCTGAAAAAACTGTCCGTTTATCCCATTTCTTTCTTACAGGGCAGGATTGGCGACCCTGGTCCTGTCGGTTACAGTGGAATGAAGGTACAGTGCACTTAATAAAACATGCTGATAGATTGGAGCTGGGATCTAAGGGAGCCTTCATGATATTTTGAAGCAAAGTATTTATTTGTTTTTTAAATTTTCTGCACTATTAAGTAAACTAGAAGGATATCAATCCTGCTCCAAGTAAATTAAGTTTGACTTCTCAAGAGGAGGCAGTCTGGTAACTCTGAGTATGTGTATGTTTGTCTAGTCATGACCGCTGACCTCCAGTCAGTTTTCCCACCTTATCATTCACCTCATCCCCCATGCTGTGTAATAATAATGACGTATGTGTTTCTGTTTCTAGGGAGACCGTGGCCCAAGAGGAGGGAAGGTACTATCAGATACCCCCAAAATATATATTTTAGTAAGATTCAGTTCTGTGCTTTAATATTCTCGAGTGACTGACTCTGTGTTTGTGTGTTTTCTGCAGGGTGACAGAGGACACAAAGGCTACAAGGTGAGCTAATATTGACTTCTTGTCTTCAGAGAGAGAGGCCGTTGTACCGGCGGTTGCCCTGGAATCTTATGGTTTCCTCTCGCTTTAATTCTTTCTATTCTTTCCATCTGTTCCATCTTCTCAGGGAGACAAAGGTCAAAGGGGAAAGGATGGAATCGACGGACGCAAGGTGAGTAAAGTCCGGCCATCTGATGCGTCCATCTTTCTCCTCTCAGATGTATCCGTTTTTTTAGATGTTTTTGTGTGTTTTCCCCTTTAGGGTGAACCTGGTTTCCCTGGACTTGCTGGCTGTAAAGGCTCTCCTGGACAAGACGTGAGTTTAAATATATACATTGAACCTTTTATGACCTTTAATCGAGCACCATTAACACTCATGGCCAAGTGCAAATGGGAGCTAATCATGAGATCCATGACACTAATTAGAAAAGTTGCAAATGTGCAATCAGATGTGTCGACATTGGGACAAACAGAGTTTATGTTTTGTCTTAATTACACTCCTGAACACTTTAACACACCCTCAGATAAGCCAATGCTGTTTTCAGCGTCTTTGTTTATAGATTAGCCGTTAGCTATTGTGTGCATGCCTAGGAATGTCGCTCTCTTTCTTTTTATTTGGTCCAAACACAAATTCTGCCTGGTATCTCCAGCAGACCAGACCATGTGCTCTTTAATCTTTGGCTTAGTTTACATTATTTTCTGTCAGACTGTTTGGATGAGTCCATATAGCTGTACTGTAAACATACACACATATACATGAGCTTACAAGTACGGCAGCCTCCAAGATGGAGTGTTACCTCAGCTGCTTCTGATCATGCATTGAAACTGTCTCTGTGTTGTGTGTTTCCAGGGCTCGCAGGGAGAGCATGGACCAAAGGGAGACCCTGGCTCTTATGGAATTAAAGGAGAAAAAGTAAGAGAGAAGGAGTTCTGGGTGCTAGAATTTTGTGTGGCCTTTAACGCCCTGTATTAAGGTGCTGTGTGCTCATTCCAGGGAGATCCCGGGAGGGACGGCGAACCAGGACGACCTGGAAACTATGGACCATTGGGCCCAAAGGTGAGTCAGCGTACAGAGAAACAGAAACGACGAGAGATGACAAAGCAGGAACTTTGATACAGAATTAACCATGTTTGTCGTGACAGGGTGATCCAGGCCCTCGTGGTCCTGACGGGGACAAAGGAGAGCGCGGCGAAGATGTAAGCGATAAAGCTGGATAAAACCAAAAAAAAAATGAAGTTCATGACTTTCACTGTAGCTTCTATAAGTTTCTGCTATGTTTGCATTTCAGGGATTACCAGGGAATGATGGACCTGCGGGCGAGAAAGTAAATATATTGACTTTAAAATGGTGTTTTTGTGTGTGACAGCTACCAAAATGCACGTTACCGCCTCAAAAATCTCTCGTAGGGGCTACCTGGAGAGAAGGGGGAGCAAGGTTCCCGTGGAAACCGAGGCCCAAGAGGAGAACCGGTAAGTGCTGATAAAAGGTTTAACCCCAGTCCCTCACGGGCCTTCACCAGTTCAGCATTTTCTCCTCAGAAATTCATGGGAAATTCAGTTTGGCACGTGTACAGTATAGTGAGTCCACTGTAACCACACTGACCTTAATAGAACAGTTTTTGTGTAATTCCTCATGTACTCCCACTGAGCTGACTGTTTTTTAAAGCCTGGCTCTGTCTGCGTTCCTTGTCTTTTGTTACTGTCTTGAATGCCTTTAGTCTAATTTATACATTTGTTCTTTTCCTTGCCAGGGGGATCCAGGACCCCGCGGAGAACAAGGGAGGGAGGGCACAACTGGCCCCAACGGCGCCCCCGTAAGACAGAAATACTCACTCAAATATGAGCAACCATGCAGGCATTCGAGCAGGCACGAGCAGTTAGCGGCCCTGCTTACAATGCTGCGTGGTGTAGCACGGCACAGCCCCAACTATAAACCACTCGCTCTTTCTCTGGAATTATCCTTTTTTTCCTTTCGTAGGAACATGTTAGTGGCTGCATGCGCACATGTGAGCAGTTGTGCATATTTCATGTTAAGTGGGGATAAACTGGCCAGGTTTTCCAGAAGTAAGACCTGGCTGTGTCCCCGCAGTGCTGCCCACTCCTCCCTGCTTTAACCCCAACTCCCCTCCTCTTATTCTCCATTTTACTCCTCTTCCTGGGAACATCAACAGTCACTCTTTCCCCTCTGACTCAGTTCTTCTCTCCGTCCTCTCAAGCCAAAGCCTCACCATGGTTTTTCTTAATAAGGCACCAGGCAGTGTAATAATAATAATACGTTACAAGCATCAGCTGCGGCAACCTCCGTGATGTCAGAGCGTTCAATGGCTCTTTTGTGCTTCTGACTGTGCTACTTTCCTTGTCAGTGAACACTAAGGAAATGATTAGTATGGAAAACATGGAATAACGGACAACCGGAATAACGGCATAGCATTACTCTACAGGAGTGTTTAACAGTATTTTTTGTGTGTTAACTAGAATATAAAGAAGTGCTGTGGTGTGTTTGTCTTATTGCTTGAAAGTCCAAAACCTAAATCCAAACCTAAATATCGTATACGGCATTTCAGATTGATCCAGATGTTACCAGATCTTAGCAGTGACTTTTAATTGTTTCACAACATCCTACTGAATAATGTTACAATGCAGAGAACATAATTTCTTTTTTCACTGCTCTCCGGGCGATTATCTGCTCACATAGACACAGCGATGGGAAGAGTTGAGTAAATTGAGAAACTTTTCCTCAGGCAAAGACTCATGGGAAGTGTAGTTGTTAAATAGTGACGCTGTTAAAACTTTATTTTTTTTTAAATCCCCCTTTTTGTTATGTACAGTAAAAGTGTTTAAACAGTTTGTCATTAATGTTGTTGTTTTCCAGGGTGAAGCTGGCAAGCCCGGGCCTCCCGGGTACAGAGGAGATGAAGGCCAAGCCGGATCAGAAGTGAGTCCAACAAAACAAATGTACAGGTTATAATGAAAGTGCAGGAGTGTTTGAAGACTCTGGGAGTTTGTTGTTCCTCCATGAGCGAGAGGCTCCTAAATGAACTGCCCTTTATCTGCCAAAGTTAAAACTGTAATTTTACATGAGAGACTTTTTTGGTCTGCCTTTTTGTTTAAAGTTGACGAACGTTAGAAGCAAACAGAGACTGTCTCATACTTTCATGTCATTTACAAAGTAATAGTAAAGATTTGACTCTGTGTTTTCAGATAGCAAAGGCTAAAGTGCTACAAACCCGCTGATGTAGCTTTAAATCCATAAAAATTTTGTGAGTCAGCTTTGTTTTCATTTGTCATGTCTGTTGGTGGTTTGATGCTCGTTATCACACAATCTAGGCAGTCAGCTTGCCAGAATCTCTGACAGATTGCAGATACTAATAGTTACTGTTAAGCCTTTATATGGGACTGACGTGTCTGTTATTAAAACGGATCAGTGCTCAGTATTACTGTCAGTAAAACAGATGCTGCACTTTTGTTTGTCTTTCTTTTCTGATTAATCAAATTTGGTTTTAGAGCTCACTGAATCACATGATTATTTACTGAATCATCACGAGAGAGGCTGCTATTTACTTTCTGATTTAGAATTTGAACTTCCGTCTGATCCCACTGATGTGATCAGGGAGAGGTTTTTTTAGGTGTTTTTCAGGTGGAAATTTCAAGAAATAGAACTGGTTCACAGTCTTGGTCCACACATTAACTCAAAGACACACACACACACACACACACACACACTCAGTATCTGTCAGCAATATCCAAATGTTTTCATGTTGCATTTCATGTGTTTCTAATCTCATCATTCCTTTCTTCTCTCAGGGACCCAGAGGGCCGAGAGGAATCAAAGGAGCTCCAGGAGACAGAGGCCCTATGGGAGAGAGGGTGAGTGAGAAAGGGGGGAGACAGATGTGTGCTATCGATCATAACTCCGGTCGTGTGTGTGTGCAGATGGATCTGTAAGTGTCTCTCTTTCTTGTTTTCAGGGAGCGGATGGTGCTCCAGGAAATGGCACAGAAGGTTGTCATGGTTTCCAGGTAGGTAGTTAGGGCATCTCAAGTGTGGAGCAGCTTTCTCGCTGTAACTATGTATATTTTTGATGCTTATGTGGTTTTATTTTTTAGGGTTATCCTGGGCCCCGTGGAGACCCGGGTGAGCCGGTAGGTTCTTCTTTTTTTTTTTTACATGGACAATCAGGGCACTCTTTTTTTTAATTTGAGATCAGATGTTGGGATGCACGTTTGTTAGAGGCAGCGATTAACTGAGCTAAAATTAATGGGCTTTGTTAGCCCTTTTATCATCATTATCATTTAATCATCTGTCTTTGCCAGTGCTCCCCTGTAACTGTTTATATCTGCTGTGCATTTATCAGGGTGGCAGGGGGACGCCTGGACCCAAAGGAGATGATGGCGAGCCCGGAGATCCAGGCCCCGATGTAAGTCCAACTCTGACTTCTTTTCCCTTTTTGAGTTGCTACTCGCTCTTGATCTCATTTTATCTTTCCTCCTTTCCTTTCTTGGCGCAGAGAGCTGACAGGATATGAGTCACACGGCTACTATTTTAGATATATTTTCATATCTCCTTATTCATTTGCCGTCTTTTAACACGTCTCATACTACAAAGTGACTTTTTGTCTTTTCTGCTTTTCATTATTTTTTTTTCTTCTGTAGTCTAGAAGTATTTTGCTGCTCTTGTTTTTTTGTCTTTCTCCCACACTTTCCTCCTGTTCAGCAGCTGGAAATGCTTTAAGTACTTTTGAACACATTGGGGATGAGGGCTTTGAGCTGATGCAGCTGTGTATATGTTGTCGTCAAGGCTACCAGGAAGTGAGCAGAGACGATGAGGGGACTGCATTACTTTTTTTCTGGAGTGTGTGTGTGTGTGTGTGTGTGTGTGTGTGTGTGTGTGTGTGTGTGTGTGTGTGTGTGTGTGTGTGTGTGTGTGTGTGTGTTTGAGAGAGAGAGAGAGAGATTATTCCTGGTTCAACTTGGCCGTGTTTACATTTAAATAATTTCACTTCCAGGGTTCGAGTTTCATGGCTTAAAAGTTTCTATCCATACATCGGTGCACCCTGACCTTTTTCTGCAGAACAGTCACACTCTGTGAGCTGTGGATTTACAGTGCCAGATCAGTTTACCACTCATCAAAGCTTTATGTTACTGCAGCCAGAGCAGGATAAGATGCCGTACAATTCACCCAGTCACCCAATATTTTACTAAAATTTGCTTGGTACTGTAGTAATGTTTCAGTAATGTACATGATACATTCACTCTGACAGCAGAGTAATGGGCATATTCTGTTAAATGAATACATGAGGCAACCCAAATTATCTGGTTAGCTTAGCATAAAGCATGAAGACTATAGCTTAACTCAACCCAATGATACTTGTTTGAGGTATGCCAAAAGGGCTGACCTGGTACATAAATCAGCATTCTGCACAAAAGATATATATATATATATGAGCTTTTAGAAGTGCTAGTGGGTGCATGCTGTCATTGTAAACCACTTTGAACACACAGGAATTAGTTTAGCAGAATGGGTGCTAAGCTAACCTGTTGTTGCCTGCAGCCTTGTATTTGGACAGTGGTCCAGTGGTGACTGTTCTCTTATCTAGGTTTGGAAAACAAGTCCAGTTAGTTACCAAAATGACGTACCATTTAACAATGGTTTAATTTCCACACCGCACCCTGTATCGGTCCATGACAAAATCGTAGACTAAAAAAACCATAGTTAACATAATTAGATGCCATTTTTTGTATATCTCAGTGAACAGAAAGAAGTTATTATGTTCCACTCATTCTCAGAGGCATGCATGCATTTCTGTTTTCTTCTTATGTCTTTCTCCCTAGACAGTGACTTTCTTGTTTCCACATTCTCAGCTGTTCACAAAAAAGCTTTTTGTTGGATGGTGGAAGGCTGTGAACGGCGTGTGGCTTTCCCACCTATTTAAAGTTGTGGCTAACATACTTTTAAGATCATATCCTGCAAAAGGTATGACAAACAGTTGCATCTGGATGTGATCGCTAAATATAACGCCATAAAATCAAGCCTATGATTTGTCTGGCTGTTTGTGTAACTATGGATGATGTAGTTCATGTTCATTACATCCTAGCATTTGAAGTTGAGCAGTAATTGGAGTCACATGCATTGTGTGCACATGTATGTTGAGATATATGTGTGTGTGTGTGTGTGCGTGTGTGTGCACACGTGTGTGTTCCTATTAAAGGCTCACGTCTGTTGGCATGTGTGTGAAAAAGCCAGATGGTTGGCAGTACCGTCTCCCCAACAGCCCTCATGTCTCCGCTGTATCTGTCCACTGTAGGTAGATGGTTGTGTTGCAGGAGTGCAGATCTGCTGGTTGTGACTTTACACTGTGAGCTAGTCCCTTTTGCTTACACTGCTTCCTGCCTTACATGTCACTCCCAATCAGAAGGTTTCTAGGACAGACATTTGTCCATTAATGATCTGTAATATTTTCATTCACATTGTTTATGAAGTCGTTTTAAAAAAAGAGAGTAAATACACTTTTATCCAAAATGAGCTGTTTAAAGCACACAAGCACCCACTTTAAAACAGTTTCTGCTCTTCTCGTGTGTTTCAAAGATTTTTTTTTTAAATCTTCTTTTATTTTGGTATCTGCTTTCAGTTTTGGATTATTGTGAAATTCATTTCAGCTGCCTGCCGTCATTCTCAAATTTTTAAGTGTGTAAAAGTATCTGTGGGAACATTCAAATTCAACGATGTGATCATTGTCCTAAATCATTTTGTTTAGCTCTCACAGCGATCAGCTGTGTGTCAGGGTGCAGCAGCTGCAGGGGCTTTGGCTCCTTTAGCCCGCTGCATAGTTAGATAGCTGGCCATGATGAGACATGGCACAGCACTTCAGTGGATTTCTCCAAGATCAGGCAACAAACTCGTGCTTACAATTTCTGAAACTGTGTGTGGAGCAAGCAGGAATGCATTGTCTTTGTATACACAAAAATAAATGACGGTGCTCCACTTTCTCCTTCTCCTCCACTTTTATGATATGAACTACCACACTCGGAGACAAAACTCTTCTGAAGTTTTACATTTATTACTTATTTCCATAGTCAAGCACAGAGTCATAAAAAAAGTAAACAAATGAACACACACACACTAATCAGGTTGTTTTGCAGTCAGGTAATCACTTATACAGTAAGTCAGTATGAAGGTTTTAGTTGGACTCTGGATCTAAAAAGTGTGTGCCACTGCAGCTGTTTCCAGTTTAGACAAAACTATGAGCTGTGGTTATTGTTTAGCAGTGCTTTGCCACACAGCATTGCACGTTCATTGTGATTAGTGTGTAAATCAACTTAGTTTCTTTAAATAGCTTTTCATCCTGTAATTTGAAAAGATTTACAATCATTTATTTCAAAAGAGAAAAACAAACCAAAGGTGTGACCCTTTCTTTTAATCTCCATTCATTTTCTCTTTTTTGACAGAATAACGAACCAGGGCCTCTAGGACCAAAAGGGGCCAAAGGTCACAGAGGGCCCGAGGGCAGGCCGGTAAGAATGACATGGAGTGTGCACGTATGTTTGTGGTGTATGAATGTGTAAAACATAGATTCATGGGCAATGCTGACATATTTTTTCTGTTAATGTTATTTGTGCACTTGATTAGTTAATTCATTAAAACATTAATTCTTCTTAATAGGAAAGAAATACAGACTTAGCAGGCCTTTAAGAAAGTGAGCTAACAAGAGCACAGCCAGCTTTCAACTCTGTCCATTTCCATGTTTCAGACAGACACCACAACACCAAACCACATGCTAAGAGATGGAAAAACAATCATTCCTATGTTTCCTTAAACCTTAAACTTTGTGGTGTTGCTTCATGTGAAAATATAAACAAAGCTTAATCTAAATATGACATTAATCTAAATGATCGCACGCTCTCTGAGAGGAACCACTGAAAAGTTTGCGTCATGTGCTCCGAGTGCTGTTCTTCTCTACAATTAACGGCTGTCTCTCTCCCTCGCTCTCTTTTCCTGTCTTTCTCATTCTGTAATGTGTGTGTGTGCTAGTCTGGTGTCTTTTATGCAGAAACGAGTGCCCTTAAACAGAGCTTTAATGTCGGCTAAAACATAACAGATGGTTTTCCTACAGTCGAGAGAAGAAAAAAAAACAACTCCCAAAATTCTGTGGCAGTGAACTTTTGGACGTTTCAGATGTTTGCAGAACGACAGTGGCGAGCATGAAATGTGTGGGCGCGGATTGTGGGTTCAGTCATGGTGAGAACCTTGCGTACAGTCAGAGGAGTAACGTCTTTTTCAAAGAAGCCCCCCACATTTTTTAATTCCAACTAAAACACAAAAACTTTCCTCTGTCATCTTGAAGCCAGACCAGATAGACCTTTGGACAGATTTTTAAAAGAAAAAACAAAACAAAAAAAACATAGACATTTTTCAGGAGGATGAATCACTCAAGTCTCCCTATCTCCTTTTCAGGGACCACCAGGGCCTCCCGGACCACCAGGAGCCGATGTGAGTATCAAGATAAAAATTGAAGCAATCCAATTAATGTGAGCCTTCGCCCTCAATTTAGCCGTAGCACCAGAGTGCTAACACACTTAATTCCCCCTTGAGGCTGTGCAAGTTTTGCATCTGCAACTGATACTGTATGTTCAGTCCAAAGCCACACAACCAATTTCCTGAACACAAAACCCCATAGCCGCTCACTGACTTCTAAGTAAAATATCACGTAGTCATGTTTTCATTTTCTTCTCCTTTGGAGCGGCTCAAAAGCAGTCAGGGAGCTGGCTGTGTGTCGTGTTTGTATATTATGTAATGTGATGTAGGTCTGCGGCCATATTGTAATGTATCCTCTGCCTCTCTCTTCAGGATTGTGAAATTCTGGATATCATTATGAAGCTCTGCTGTAAGTTCAAGACTTAACGGTTTGCCTTCTTGAACACCCACTCACAGAATTTAAATTCTTTATGTTAAAGTTTTCTCTGTCATTCATATGTATGTATATATATATACATTACAGTTACAGTGGTGAGTGCGAATGTTAAACATTGCAGATGTTTCAGATAATGAGGTCAGCATATGTACAAGTAATCCCTGTGAGCCAAAAGTTAAGACCTCAGATTGTCAGTTTCAGTCTTGGTTTGTATGATGTCATAAACAGGGGATCTCCCTAATGTGGTCATCTCAGGCAAAGAGCTCTGACTAAGAGAACAGAAGACCTGCTGTTTGAAGCTTCTGGTTGTCAGGATCACCCAGTCAGAAAAAAGGATGGCTTAAAGTCTAACTAAAAACACATGTATAGCCTCTTCGATTAAAAACGAACGTCATCCATTTAAATCTGATTTTTAAAAAGTCTCAGTGCAGTCTGGGTAGTGATGTTGAACAGTTGGAACAGTCTTGGACTTTACATTAAGATAAACAGGGAATTATTCTGTTTATCCTTTTCAATTTGAACCTGATTGTACTGTAACTGAGGAGGAAACCATACTGGGTATTAGTCAAACTGGACATCCATATCCAGCACTAATTTTCCTTGAGAGACCCATCCCAGTATAGGATCTAATCCCCTCCACCATGATAAGGTGATGGTATACAGAGGGGAATTTAGAAACCTACTGTGAAAAAGTAGGTTTGTGAAAAACTGTGAAAATTGAGGAACCTAGACTTCAGTGGGGTTCAGTGTCATGTAGACTGGGCAACTTTCTCGACTGGAGGGCTGTCTAGGTTGATACACCAACGCAAAGCTGCATGGAACTCAACAATAGTGCCTCTGGTTTATCAAACTGGGGTGATGTTTCTTCTTTTTAAGAAGGGAAAACAAGGTTGTGGTCCAACTTTAGCAGAATCAGCAAACCTCAGCTCTCTGGGATGTTCTTTGTTAGGGTGCTTTTGGGAGAGTCTGTCCATTGGTCGACCCTCAGATCCACGAGGAACAATTTGATTTTCATCCTGGTTGTTGAACATATGACCAACTCCTTTTCTTCTCAAGGATATTGCATGTATTTTATAGACAATAAAATAATAAGATATCCCTCAGTGTGTCCTCTGGGATTGCTTTAGTAGTATGAAGTGTCTGCCCTGCTGTCATGGGCCATTCTGTGCCTATACAACCTTAGTAACAGCTTGGTTTGCATTGCCAAAGGTAAGAACCAGCAGGGTTGCACACAGATTTTAGTTATAAATTTTATGGATAGGCAATTTTTAGTTATTGTCAAGCAGAGAAGGGTTTCTGGTTTTGTGGCCTCGGGATCTCCTCTGCTTTTGCAGTTTATAGCCCAGTGTGAAACAGCAGGAATGAGAATTAGCATTTCCAAGCCTGAGGCCATGGTTCTCAGCTGGAAAAGAGTAGAGTGCTCATTCCAGGTCACAAAGGAGTTGCTGCTCAGGTATCTCAGGGAAATGGACAGATGGATTGGTGTAGCATCAGGAGTGGTGCAGAGTGCTGCCACCGCATCATGCTTAGGCTACTGCAAAGATGAGGCAGTCCAAATCTCTGCTTAGACTGCTGATCCTGTGTCCCAGACCCTGAAAAGTGTTGGAAAATGAATGAATGGATGTTGCTCCACTAACAGTGTTTAACAAAATAAGCATCTACTGATGTAATATAGTCCTCTACCATCATTCCTTTTTTTTAAAAATCCAAATAAACTTTGTGTTTAAACAGTTATACATGGTCCACAAACATCTGTTTATGCACATCTGCTGGCCATCATAGGTCTGCATCTGAAATATTCTTAAGAGCTTGAAAAAAAGAACACAACTGAACTTAGAGACGCTTCTTCATCACTAAAAACGAAAGGTGGAGAGTCTCAGGTATTTAATGTCTACTGAGTGTTGTCTCCTTTGGAAATGATCCTGAGAGCTGTTGTTCTGCTACTTGACCTGCTACTGACTATTGGTTAATACCATCAGCGGTGTTTAAGACTGAAACTACTGTGAGACCCTGCCCTCCTCTGTCATGTGACCTATTGATGTCACTTGAGGTGAGGTGGGGGGTTGAAGCAACAGTGAAGGGATCTCAAGACAGTGGCTACAATGTAGCAATGGACATAGGTGGCCTCCTTTACTGGTTTTACAAGCCATCTGTCTACTCGGTCCAAAATATGAACATTGTCATTGTCCTTTAAGTACAAGTGTACACCTGAGGGTTGTGCTGTTGAATGATGAGAGGTGAAACGTTTTGACAAGCTAAAGAAGTTAAGACAAGCTCTTAAGGCTGCCATGACCTGGATGATGGACAGACATCTGACATACTGGTCTTAGTTGGAGGTTGCTGGTCACTTATGGACTGCTGAGCTGATTGAACTGGCAGGTTGTCATCTTCCTATTTGAACAGGGTCATGACCAAACGTTTGCTTTCGGAGGTTGTAAGTGTTGGATGTATTGGACGGTTTTGTGCCTAGCATGAGAGGATTTTATATTTACCATTGTTGACTTGAAGTCCAAAACCATTGATTCCTTTTGATTTATTCATTGTTCATAACCAGCTGCGCCATTTGGTATATTCATCCCATCAATGCAGCAAAAGTATCATAAGAGAAGTGCTCAAAACACAGCCACAGTCCTTTGGGAAGGTGCCACAAGCATTTTCCTGCTCATTTCTCGTTTCTTCACAACAGGAAAGATGTTAAGGCTAATATCGCTTCCTTTGTTTCCTTTCAACTGGAAATGAAAGCCAGATGCAGAGCAGTGTGGCACAGAAACTTGTAATAATAGCGTTTGAGTTTAGATCATCAGCCCAGAGAAAAAGTAACAGCAGCTTTCATTAGGTCATAATATGGAGTAAACATTGAGGATTGTTTCACTTTTTTTCACAGAGTATTTCAGGTATTTTAAGCTAGTGCTTTAATAGAAGATGGCATTTATTGCATTTTGAGAGCTTCAAGTTTTTAGTTTAAGAAAAGAACAGCTAAAACTGAACCAAAGCAAAGCTTACACAGTCTTAAAATACAAATATGGTGCAGGAAATTGATATAATAGGGCCACTTTAAACAGTTGGCCTTCTTTAGCTCAGTGCTAGGCTAACCCTAATGAAAACCGAAGCAGATTGTATCATGATACATTTATTTCTGCATTTCATTAACTTTGATTTGTGGTTTTTTTTCCCCCATGCTCTTCTAATCACCCCCAGCTTGTTGTGGTGAGTTTGGAGTCATTGCCTATATTGTTCTCCACTGTCTGTAGTTACTTTGACGATTAGCCTTTATGAAATTATTCATGTGTGTGTCTCCAGAGTGTAAGTGTGCACCAGTGGACCTGGCGTTCATCGTGGACAGCTCAGAGAGTATCGGTTCTACAAACTTTGCTCTTGCCAAAGACTTTATCATCACAGTCATTGACAGGCTGATAAAAGACCAGCAAGTAAAGGTAACATCCTCCTTTAATTTATCCTCTGTTTTGACAGCATTGCATTTCATATTCTTCACCTTTTTCCTAATCTCTACCACCATCTGTCAGCCACATGCTTGACCTTTGTGGGATTTGTTGTTTATTTAAAATCATTCCAAGAATGGTGCTAAAGCTATTTTTCAGAGATGTTACGAAATGCTCGCCCTGAGAGCAAACCTCAAAATAGAAAAGTGTGAATGAAAGATATTCTCTTGGGTTTGGAACATGCTTTTATGTCTCTCCAGTGACTCTCCTCTCCCAGTTTGGTTGCAATTAGTCAGGATGGGTGGGACACAGAAATGTTGACAGAGGAAAACACACACAGACCAAAACACACAGTCACCATGCAGTGCTTTGGGTTTTTTTCTTTCCAGTTTGCTGTCGACGAGTCCACAGTGAGTGTTGTCCAGTACAGTGGATCAAGAGCCCAAGAAGCTGTCAGACTATCCTCAAGCCTCACCGAATTCAAACAGTGAGTTCACACACGCGTGCGGCAGGAGTCTCTGGCTTTCTTTGTTCTTTATAAATGTACTTTAAGAATTTTGCAGTGCAGTAAAAAATGAGAGAAGGGTAGCATTGCAGATGTTTACGCTGATAACACAAACATTATGCAGGAGCAGGTAATAGATAATAGGTATTGATTTTTCAATAACCGGACATGAACATGGAGAGTTTCCTGTATAACTTAGATTTCTAACTAACAAGGCCGCTCATTCTCTTTCTCTTGATAATATTTTCTTTAAAGTTATAAGACATTTTGGGGTCAACTTGAAAGAAATAGATGCAAACTATAATAGTATATTTCAAATCCCCATATACCAGGGTTATTCCCTAAATTCTGCCAATATAAACAAAAGCAGTGGATATTTAAGTCGTTTTTAAAGCGTTTTTAAAGATAATATTAGAAAGTTTGACGAGCAGGTCAGAAGTCCAAAGTAACGTCCCCTGTATGCCTTTATGATGCTCTCAATACAAACAATGGCAATAATGGACAATGAGGGACTTTTCTACCCTAAAAAAACAGCACTATAGATCTGATCAGAAATAGATCTGTCGCTATTAAGTTAAATACACTCTAAGTGGTAATTACTTATCTGGAAACAGAAATGACTGTTTAAATGTATAAAATGAAAGAACCTTTGAATACAGCATGTTGTATATTTTGCCTTATGTTTCAATGCTAAGCACGTTTTCTTTGTGTGTGTGTGTGTGTGTGTGTGTGTGTGTGTGTGTGTGTGTGTGTGTGTGTAGGGCAGTGAGAGACATGAAGTGGCTAGCTGAGGCCACGTACACAGGCGAGGCCCTTGATTTTGCTTTGAGCAACACAATCAGTGTCATGAGGAAAGAGAACAAAGTCGTTCTCGTTCTCACTGATGGACGCTCTGATATCGACAGAGACAAGACCCCCCTCAACATACTCTGTGGTAAAGGCCTCCAGGCAAGTGTGACACACTTTGAAACACACACTGTAGAAGGTTGAATCACATCCCTGTACAGGCAACCCTAAAAGGTCCCTGCTTCATCTCTAGGTTGGTGGTTTAGGAGTAAAGGACTACTCAGGCCGTGAGCCCAACCAAGAGCAGCTCGACGACGTGGTGTGTAAGAGCGACCCCAAACCAGGCTTTTCCTTCGTGCTGGATAACTTTGCTGAACTTCTCGACGACAACTTCCTGCAGAACCTTACAGACAGAATCTGTAAAGGTACAGCACAGCTCCACATATTTAAATAACCTATGAATGCACTCCTTATCTAGTTATTAGTGTTGTTTTAGCAACACCATATTCACGATATACAGCGATATCCAGGCGTCTGTGTCAGTTGCGGTAACAGAGAAACATTAAAGACTTCTTTGTAGTAACAAAACAACACGCCAGTATCTGATCTTGCAGTTATTTAACCAGCTGGAAACAGTAATTTGGAAATAAACTGACTTATCTTGTGCTTTCTGTTACAGAGAAGAAATGCCCAGACTACAGATGTCCCAGTAAGTCTGATATTATTTTCCAATACACAGTTACACTGGGTTGTATTATGTTTGTACTATTTTACTGGGTTTGACAATGTCTTACATCCCTCATTCAGAAATCAGTTGTTCAAAGCTATTTTTCTATAGCACCTTTCATGCAGGTTAGTGCAGGTCAAAGTGCTTCACAACTGTCAAAAAGACATAATAAGGAGGAACAAATAAATTATATAATAAATTAATATGCAGCAGACAAGAAATAAATCTAAATTTGAAATGGCCTATAGGTATGATAAGAGTAAGTCAAATAAAGCTTAAATCAATTTAAAAATAGATATTAAAATATTACATTAAAAATGTAAAAATAAAAATAATCACAAATAAAATAGCAACAAAAATACAAAGTTAAAGATATAGTTAAAAACATAGAAAGTTATTTTAAAAAATCAAATAAAAATATGCGACATCAGTAGGACGTAAGAAAACCCCAAATCCAATCTTTTCAGCATAAAAGATTTGATTTAAATTTCTTTTTAGAGATTTCAAAAACCTTCTGTTGCTCTTGGGTGCTGCTGCTGTTTTAGCGATGTGGGTAAAACCTCATGGCTGCCTCTAAACATTTTCTTCCTCCACACTGGAACAAGAAAAAGACCTGAAATACTTTATATGCCATCAGCACGTGAGACATAGATACTGGAATAAGGCCACGAGGTGGTTTAAAAACAAGTAAAATGATTTTGAATTCACTACTGACAGGCAGCCAGTATAGACTTCAGAATCAATATAATCTTTCTCTTATCTCCAAATAAATGATCTAACTTCTGCTGATGTAACACATTTTAAGTCGACCAGCTAGCAGGGCATTACAATTATCCAGCTTTGTTGGCATAAAAGCATGTTATCAGTTTCTTTGTGTTACTCAGACTTAGAAAAGGTCGAACAGTTTAAAGCAGAAGGAAGGAGACTCAGTGACAGACCCCACATGAGCTCTGACGTTCAGATCAGAGTCAGCCCTCCTACCTCTATGTTTTGTGCTTAGTGGCTAGAGGTAACTCTGAACGAATTCCCTTTTTCTGTTTCTGTCTCTAAGCTTTAGGCTAAAATTTAATTTTAGTTACTTCTGCCTCTGCCTCACCTTTTCTATATTATTTTAAGGATTGTTTGAAAAAAAATACATCTCAACACAGTCACGTTATTCAGTGAACGAAAGTCGACAATAAATTAGAATCTGGATGTTAAAGACATCATAAATAAATGCTGTGTTTCTCTCTCCTGTGTTGGAAATCTCTGACCAGATGTGTTGTGTGTATTATTTCTGCTTATATTGCAGTCGAGTTTCCTCAAAGTACCGATATTTTGGTGATGATGGACAGTTCGGCCAGCGTAGGCCAGAAGAACTTTGAAATAAGCAAAACCTTTGCCCAACACTTGGCTGATCGCTTCCTGAACGCAAACAGGTCGCTTGGTGCCCAGATTAGAGTGGGTGTGGGCCAGTATAGTCGGAATGCTCGCTTGGACGCGCCGCTGAATCACAATCTGACGGTGTTGTCTGAGGAAATTAAAGCAGCTACCTTCCAAAACGATGGCACCAGCGTGACCCAGGCCTTGGAGTTTGCAATCAGGACTTTAGCCTCCCGCGGGGATGGATCAGCAGGCAGTAAGAAGCTGGTGCTCTTCTCTGACGGCAGGTCTCAGGGCGTCACCCAGCCTGTCCTGGAGAAGCGTGTTCGCGAGGTGGCGGATGCTGGTATTGAGCTCTATGTCATCTCAGCTGGCACCCAGGTCAGCGAGGCTAACCTGCGCACTCTGGTGAGCAGAGGACGGCTGGCCGACATCACATACGCTCAGCGCCATCTGTTCCGTCTCCCAGACTACCCATCTCTGCTCCGTGGGGTCTTTTACCAAACCGTCTCCCGCAGGGTGTCCATGCCCTGAATGGGGATACACCATACAACAGGACTAATACGCTTTACATTTTTAGTCCAATGAATATTCAGTCTCACTCATTTACAGTACACTGTGTTTAAAAAAGAAAAGAAAGTCGCAAAACGACTAATGATTGTGTGGCAGAAAAATGTAAATTTCTTCAAAAATTACCCAGAAACCTTTTTTTTTTTTTTACCCCAACTTGATCCTCCAAGGCAGACCATGTTAGGCTGTGTACAAACCCCGGTGCCTTTGCTGAGATCATAACCAAACGAAGGTATTTGACCTAAACCTCCCACTTTTAGAAATTTCTGCCTTGGAGGTAAAGTTCAGGGTAAAAAAGTGCCAAATAAATGGGTAACTCCGGTCCTGGAGAGCCATCAGTATTAGCACGTGTCTATTTCTAGCTTTCATCTGCATTAGGCTGATTTCTACTCAGGTATCCCTGTATCACTGTCAGCTCTGACTTCAGCTTTAAACAAGGCTCTTTGAAACAGCACTTACTTGCCTCTCCAGGACCGGACCTCCTGCCCTTTCAAGGATTGTGTTTAGAGTCTAATGTGGATTCTTTTTTCTTATTTTCATTATAACTCTAGCCACTCTTTCAAGTGGTGTCAGATCTGTTGTGTGACAGTAACGCAAAATGAAGTGACCAATCACAGCTGTGAACTGATTTATTTTAAACTCCACCTCCATGATCTTTAAGTGTTAACTTAGTCCACAATTGGAGAAAACTCACACTGTTCATTATGTCAAAGTTATATTAAATCACCAAAACAGGATGTGACATCAGATAGGCTTATGTAGAAAGCCTGCTTCACCAGAACTCCACAGCTCGACCTTACCTGTGTGGTTCTGTCTGTGAGTATGTGTGAACCCTCTCAGTGTGTGGACATCATTTACATGTGAATGTGTGTTTTACACAGAGCCTCGGGGCGTTGGTCCATAAACAGCTGTGCTATGGTCGCTGGTTCAAATAATAGAGTAATGATAAAAAACTGTTCTTTATTGTCTGTGGAGCAGAAAAGCCTCAGTTTCACACACACATACGCTTACATGCATACATTGGTTCAGTGACCTTGGAATCTGCCATGGTGGAAACCTTGAAAATAAACATGGCACTTCTCACACCTACCCACACACAGAAAAATACACACAGCTTTTTAGATCACCTTAAGTGGAAGTTCAAAGGTGTTGTTATCTTCATTGGCTCAGAGTCACTGAGCTGTTGTTGTTATCTGTGGTGCTACTAGTTTCAGTGTATTAGCCTCTACCCTTTTTGTTAAAGAAGATATTTTTACCGTGGGGATGCACAGCCGCAGTAGTTTCATAAGAGCTCCTTCAATAAAGGTTGCTGCACCTAAGTGTGATTGTTTTTGTCCTGTACACACACACTCGCAAAGGTAGTTTACAAAGATCCATTCACACATGTTCATGTACCTCTACTGACAATTCTTTGGTTCAGATTAAAACACTGAGGAGAAAAAAATAATTTTTACATCTCTCAGGTAGTGTTATAAAACAATGCATACATTTACATTGCTATGCAGATGATACTCAATCATATTTATCTGTGAAGCCAGCAATTAGTTAAACTACAGACAAGTCTTCAGTACACAAATGACCGAATTTCCTGACTGAATTTCTCTTCACCTAGACTCCAACAAATTGAGGTTATTGTACCTGAGCCCTAAAAATCTTAGAAAGTGTGGTTTCTAACCAGGTTTCTACTCTGGATGGCATTACCCTGATGTCTGCTAACAGTGTGAGGAATTTTGGAGTCATTTTTGAAAAGCTAGTCCATTTGGGGCAGGTAGGTAGAGTGGTTGCCCCATGATCAGAAGGTCGGGGTTTTGACTCCACTGAACGGCTACCCTGAGGTACCCCTGAGCAAGGTACCGTCCCTACACACTGCTCCCCGGGCGCTGCATTGGTGGCTGCCCACTGCTTCACTGGGTGAATTGGTTAAATGCAGAGGAGTAATTTCCCTATGGGGACTAACACAAACACATTATTTGTTACTCATAGGCAGGAATACTGTGATTCATTACTGTCAGGCTGTTTTCAAAGTTCCCTGGAAAGTCTTCTGTTGATCCAAAATGCATATTTCTCCCATATTAGTTTCTCACCATTTGCTCCCTGCTAAATCAGGGAATCAAATTTAAAATCCTTCTCATATACAAAGTCTTGAATAATCAGGCCCCATCATAACTTAAAGATGCCATAGTGCCTTATTATCCTAACTGAGTACTTTGTTGTCAGACTGCTGGCTTACTTGTGGTTACTATGGTATTTACTATGGAGGGTGATCGTGGCCGGTGGCGCCAGTGTCCGGCAGCCTCGCCTCTGTCAGTGCGCCCCAGGGTGGCTGTGGCTACAATGTAGCTTGCCATCACCAGTGTGTGAATGTGTGCATGAATGGGTGGATGACTGACTGTGTAAAGCGCTTTGGGGTCCTTATGGACTAGTAAAGCGCTATACCATTACCAGTTACAGGCCATATTTAAAAGTAGAATGAGAGGCAGAGCCTGCAGCTTTCAGGCCTGTGGAACCAATTCCCAATTTGGATCCAGAAGACTAACCCTAATTCTCACTACTTTTAAGATTAGGCTTAGAGCTTTCTTTCTTTTCTTTTTTTTTTATAAAAACATACAGTTAGGGTTGGATCAGGTGACCTTTAACTCTCCCTTAGCTATGCTGCTTTAAGCTCAGATTGCTAGACGTCTTTTTCGTACCTCTCTTTTTACTCTTTAATTGCGGTCTTCTCTTTCTGAGAGTTTGTATTTAGCTCTTATTTCTCTTTTCTCTTTTTAATCTTCCCCTTTCCCACTAACAGGTGAGGCCTGTTTCCTTGTTATTCCTGGTTATAATAAATTAAGCAATTAAGCAGATAGCTGATTAATGTCATTCTCAGTAACAATGATGGCCAAAGAGATATCAGTGGGCAAATCCATCATCGGGCTTAAAAAACATCATAAACGTATCAGGGAGATAGCAAAAATATTTGGGAGTGGTAAAATCAACAGGCAACGTACTGGTCAGCTCAGCAACACCAAAACATCTGGAAGACAGAAAACAACTAAACTGCAGACAACTGAGAGAATTATTTCTACGGTTAAGAAAAATGTCTTCATAACATCCTACCAAGTGTACAACGCTGTCAAGGAGATAGAGATCTTATACAATCAATAATGAAAATGAGACAAAATAAGAATGGAAATACAGAGGGTTTGCAACAAGACGCAAACTACTGGCTTCACTCGAAAACAGGTAGGCCAGATTCGATTTTGCCAGAAAACATGTAAAAGAGTCTGGAGAGTACTGAGAAAAAGGGAAAAGAATAAAGAAAGACAAAAACAAGAGTGTCAAAGTGTCAGGGTATGTCAGCAGGTAAGTGACGGAAGTGACGGACAAGGTAAGCGACTCATGTAACTGACGTCAGACGCCAGAGATTTTGGCAGAAAATTAAAGCGAATGGTAGTTTAGAATTGAACAAATTCCTTTAAGCTTCAGTATTACCAAATACACTTATCAAATGCAGAGAAACTCACAAACAAACAACAACTGAAGGTGACTATGGTAAAGGCCTTGAAGAGCATCTCAAAGGAGGAACCAGCATTTGGTGATATCTATGGGTTATGTATCAGTAACTACTGAGTGCAAAGGATTTTCATCCACACAAACCCATCTACCTATCCATCTATTTTCATCCACTTATCCGGGCAGAAGCCTAAGCAAACAAGTACAGACCTTCCCCATTCACCTTCTCAAGCTTATCTGAGGGAACACTGAGGAATTCCCTGGCCAACTGAGAGATGTAATCTCCTTGGTGTGTCCTAAGGCCTCTTCCTGGTGGAACATGAAAAATTTCATGCATAAGAGTTTAATCTTCATTTCATACAAAACTAAAAAAATATATTGTGAAACTTTACTTAGATAAAAGTGTGGTTGTGAGATTAGCAAATTAGCATGCAGCATTGCCATTAACTCTGGAAATTCTCCAAGAGTTGCTAGCTGTGCTGTAGACATGTTTGGGTTTTTTTTACCCGTTCTTTGCAACAATATTTAATATTCTTTTAAATAAAACAATAATTTTGATAGATAATCAGGAAAGAGTGAGGAGAATTTTTCAGCCTGTTTTACACTACTAAATGTCCAAGTGCTAACGTCACCATTTCCCATTTGAAGACAGCTTAATGTTCCATCTCTCAGTGTAACAGGCCAGTAGTCTTGTACAGCTTCCAAAGTGCTACCCATTGTGACAGCAAGTATCAGCCTGTTGAAATGCCCCTAGCAAGACAAGATACAGGACTGCTGACCTCTTTGCAGAAAAGGACAAGAGAAGGAATTCGTTTAGCAAAAACTGTCCATGATTTATTTAAAATATTTGCCTCTTCATCCCTCTGTATCCACAGACACAAATGTTTGATTTTCTTCTCTATTGCTCAATGCGAAACACATGTTTTAAATTAAATCTCCTTAGTCAGAATTCAGGAGAAATTCGTTGAGACTGCCTCACTAAATCTGCTGTTTTCCCCTCCAGTGATCCTGATTTTTTTGTTCAGATCTTGACTGTGCAGCATTTATGTGTGCACCAGACATTCACTTCTGTTCAGGGTGTGTGTATCTCTGTACTGTTTGGTACATAACTTCCTGTGTCCAAGTAATTTCAAAATGACCTGAGCCGAACTGCGCTTATCAGATTGTTCCACAGATCTTTCCCCAGTGTGCATGTTCTTTTATGCGCATATGCATGGGTGTGTCCAGTTGCATGTTGCCATGCATGATTTACATTTGCATGCACCTTTTAAATCTGTTGCATGCATGCAGCTATGCACTTGCACAGTGGTGCCAAGCACATAGCTTGTGTTGGCTGTTCTGTAGCTTTTCTGCAATTTCCCGTGCTCCTTCTGTTTTCTGAGGGGACTGGACCTTTCTGTGCTGTCCTGCCCTCAGACCTCAGTACAGACTTTTTCCAAGGAAATTCGCTGAAAGTGTAGAAAATGTTTTTGCAAGATGTGTCCAAAAAAGCGGCAAAAAAGTGTTTGTCTATTATAGTTCTCTAGAACTCTGGAAATGGTTATGCATTAAACCTCCTCAGAGGGTGAAAGAAATGAAAAAAAGAAAAAAACAGAGAAGAAGAAATTTAAGTGTGTGTGTGTGTGTGTGTGTGTGTGTGTGTGTGTGTGTGTGTGTGTGTGTGTGTGTGTGTGCGTGTGTGTGTGTGTGTGAGCATGTGTGTGTGTGTGTGTGTCTGTGTCTGTGTGTGAGCATGTGTGTGTGTGTGTGTGTGTGTGTGTGTGTGTGTGTGTGTGTGAGAGAGAGAGAGAGAGAGAGAGAGAGAGAGAGAGAGAGAGAGAGAGAGAGAGAGAGAGAGAGAGAGAGATGCAAAGAGGTAACAACTACCAGCTGTTTTGTCTAAAGACAAAGCACATCTGGATGAAGAGAGAGACTGCCAAAAGAAGCAAAAAATGGGGGTTAATGTTAACTTGTGTAATGTTTATATGTAATATCCTGGCATTTGTTCACATATACATATACAGATCAAGAACTGCTCTGGAAAACCTCTTGAAAGAATGGCTCACATTCACACACCCAGTGACCATCACAGAGATTAAAGCACATCAAATAACCCATATCTGCACTCAGTTTGTTCTGCGCTCATTACAGACAGCAAAAATGTTTGTCTGCTTTTTCACTGCACAGCTCTTAACATTTTTATTTCCCCCCCTGCCCATGTTGCCCTTCATGTGCATTTGCAGTTGTTTGCAACAGGCACAAATAAATTGTTCCTTGTGACCTTTTCCATGGAACTGTGAGAAAATAAGCTGCAGCAGTGTCTGAGTATGATAGTTTTCTAGACACTTTTCTTCTACAGTAATCCCTCTACAGAACTCTCTTTCAGTCCATGTGACAAAAATTAATGTGTGTGTGTGTGTGTGTGTCAGAGAGACACAGAGAAGCAGAGACTGGTTTACTCTTATTCGGGAGGAAGGTCATTCCTATCCTATGAGTCACCCAGTTTTAAGAGAGACCAGAACACCCCCATCTCTCCATCACACACACACACACACATTGCTCCACTCTTCTCTTTTTAAGGAAAAACCCTTCCCCATCCAGAGAGAAGAGCTTCACATAGTAATAACTCTGGTCAGCAGCTGGCCTTCTCTTCCTCGTCATTCTCTTTTCTGTCTCAGCACTTCTTCTCATCTTCCCACACGGCAGAATGCTGATTCCTGCCTCACCTCCAGACACCTCTGTAAGCGAGGTAAAGTTAAGAGCAACGTCTTCAAAAATGTCCTTTCACAGATTCGTTACGTGTTCATTCGTGTCGCTTCGTCTAAAGCTTGACAAGGTATTTTATGTTGATCCTTGGTACAGCTTCAAAATAAAACTCCAGATTTTCATTTTTATTTTTTACAGCATCTTCCTTCCACAGTGAGTTAATCCACATGACCGCTTCATTTCCACATTGTTGGCTCTGCCATGTAAAGGATGTACAACTCTGTTCCTGATTTGCCTCCTGTGATAACATAAATTAAGACATGCTTTCCATTCACACTATAAATCTAACTGTTTGTGCAGATGTGCACAGACAGGGTAAATCCCCTAAAAAAGGGGAGAACTCCCACTACGTTAACACATACAAGTAGGTAAATAGTTCGCTTTAAGTCCCTCAAAATATGTAAACATGTGCGCCTCCTGTGTTCTGCGCTGGATTACACATTAGTGGCAGTGTTAGTCTTCACTGCAAAGGCAGCTCCAGCAGCATAATCTGCAATGATAACATAAATTAAGACATGCTTTCCATTCACACTATAAATCTGTTTGTGCAGATGTGCACAAACAGGGTAAATCCCCTAAAAAAGGGGAGAACTCCCACTACGTTAACACATACAAGTAGGTAAATAGTTCGCTTTAAGTCCCTCAAAATATGTAAACATGTGCGCAGAGTCATGCACAGGCTGCCTGTGTTTACACCAGGTATAAACTACAGAGCTTGGCCTACTAATTGCAAGCATATCACCAGGAACAGGCAAGACGGTGGGTTAGGAGTATGGAGGGGGGTGAGTCTGCTCTTTATCCTGTTTTATTTCATTCTGACCTGCCACATGTCTGAGATCAACTGTGAATACCTCCTAAATGCTTTAGCTCGAGGACCTGAAAGCTCAGCGTGTCCTAAGGTTTTCACCATGTGTTCTGTGGAATGGCAATGATAAAAAAAAAAACTGTGGCGTTTAAGACAGAAACAAGTCTTGGCATCCCAAATTAGTGGTGCTTGGGGGGAAAAATTGAATGCTGTAAATGACTTGTTGGCCTATAATCTGTCAAGCATATCAGAAATATATCTCTCATCAATGATATCAAGTCATTTTGAGCCAGAAGAATATTCATATGACAAGACAGAAGATTGATCAGCCCAAATATAACATCACACTTCTATAAAGAGAATTTAATTAGTTTAAGTGGCCAAAGATGTAGAACACGGAGCTTGTATGATAATGCAGAATCATAAGAATATTTCCATATCAGGTCATTTCTTTATTTTATATATGAGTTCTTCATAAATACACGTTGACTGCAGACTTTATATCAGGATAAGTAAATACATTAGAACTAAAGAGCACATATAAACACTGGCGATCACTTTCTGGCAAACGACCACCTGTTGGCACGGCAGGCACTTGGTACACGCACGCGCACACACACGGGTTCCAGCGAAGCCACGGCGCCTCCAAGCGGACGGCGTTGCGCACTGATCTGAGCTGGGAGGAGGAGGAGGGCTCAAGAGCTCGTAGCTGGGGTTGGACCGGGACAGGCGGACGAACGGACGGTTCTTCTGCGGGAAGCAAACGCGCATCCAGGGTGTCATTTCCCACTCTCTCTTCCTGTATCACTCGTTCTCTCGGCTCCCCCCCCTGTGGAGATGAGGAGATAATCAAAAGATAAGCTGCTGACGAAGTTCTGAAGTTGTATAGAGTTTGGGTAAGCTGCACTTTTACGCACAGACTCTTTTTGCTTCTCTGTTTCGCTCTCGCTCTCTCCCCCCGTGTCTCTCTCGTGAACCTGCCTGTCTCCCTCTTCTCTCCTTCTGTGTCTTGTAATTTAGTCCTATGAGCTGAAATGACGGTGTTTTCTCAGCCGACGAAAACTGTTGTGTGAACTCTAGCTCTCAGGCGAGAAGTTTGTGAGTTCTCAGAGCGTCAACCTTCTCTGAGAACTCACAAACGTTAAACAAACAAATAAAAATATCAGAGAGTGGATTGTATATTTCTTTGGGTTTTTTGCACGATATTCACCCGCTCTGAGCTCTAAAGCTGTGAGAGCTCCCACTCGCTCGTGGCCCGGGCAGTGGAAGAGGAGTAGGAACATCTGCAGAAGCTGCAGGACTCCTGCGCAGCTCACAGCCTTTTGTCCGCTAGAGGGACCCGCAGCAAAGCGCGTCGCTGACGAGGTTCTGGCTGATATTCCAGCATTAAAATAAAATGTAGGCCTGTATGAAAACTCACTCAGCAGCGCTGGTGGGGGAAAAATCATTTTGTTTCACAGATACGAGCTCCACCGGCAGAACAGCTGAGCTGTGTAGAGTGACATATATGAATGACACATGTAGTATTGGAAATTGTGTTGAAAGTTCTTTGTTCTCAGACGGAAGCTGTTTTCTCCTGTTTTGCGCCGTTAGTGTGCGTTTTTTCATACTGTGCTCTTGTAGACATTATTTTAGCTGGAGTTCCTAGTTTAAATGGAGTGATGGGCAATAGAGTTCTTAGCTTCTTTCATTTTGCTTCTGCCCAGATCATAAGAGCTCCCACAAGGCCCAATGTGCAACTGGTTTCTGTACATTTGTTTTGAATGGCAGAGACATGTCCCGTCAAAGCTGTAAAGTGTGTGATGCAAATAAGGTCACCGAGCCTGCCCTCAATGAGTTAACCTTGCTGTGACAGCTTTGGCTTTATGTGAGAGTGGAGAAATCCTGTTGATGGCAGTAGAGTGAGACCTTTGAAAGAATTTGATTTGTGATAAAAATGTGTGCCTTTCTTTTTATCCAATCAACAACCTGTTTTCTGGTCTCCAGATGCAGCCATAGGCTGACCCTGATGTTCAGGAACACGGCTGAGGTTTCATGCTTTTTGTTTTGAGAATATAATCAGGTCAATACCTCGTAGCTTTGAGCTTGAACTGAACTACTTCACTCCTGCACAAGTTTTGTTGTTCTCATTGAACTTTGATGGAATCTGGTTGTAGTTTAGCAGCGGGTTAAGTTTCTACAGCGACACAGTCATACAGTCATACAGTTATTACATTTTTTAGCTTTTCTTTTCTTTTCTTTTCTGTCTTTGGACACACACAAAACAAGTTTGACTCATGTGATGCTTTCAAACCTCTTACATAACTGCACAGCAGCCATTTTGTTCACTGTACAACAGTCCCTGCATGTGTTTGTTTGACACTGATGTCAGATGAAGAAAATGAAAAAAAAAAACAAGTTCAGTTTTAAGCAGGAAAAAAGCACTCTAGATACAAAAAATTCATATAGTGAAGCGTGCATTTTCAGGGTTTTTTTATAATGTTTTATATATTAAAGGCTATTCTCTCATCATTTCTTTTTTTCATCTTAATAATCTCATCATGCATGTCTTTGCCTTTCTTTGCTGTTTTATCCTGCAGTTGCCGAATTCATTTCCCAACTGCAATAACTGAAAAGTGTGTTTCAATGTGCCGTGACAGGAGAAGAAGAAGATGGTGGGGTTAGAGTTCGTCCTGTTCGCTCTTCTCTTTGGAGCCCTGACTCGTGCCGAGAAAGCCGATTGCAGCAGTGAGCACGACAAAACTGAACAGCCACAGTTTCACTAACACAACATGGAACATTTGTCTGATTCAAGTACTCTGTGATGTAACAGGAAGGAAGGTTTAAGTTTGTGTTTTTGTGTTCTCATCTTTTCCCTTCTAGAAAAAAACGAATGTCCCATAGACGTGTATTTCACCATAGACACGTCGGAGACTATTGCCCTGCAGGAGCCGCCTCCTGGAGCACTTGTGGAGAGTATCAAGGTTGCTCATTTATTTACAACTCTGTGGCTTAAAACGATCCCTATTGTTGGATTTAGTAAAAGTAACAGCCGTGTTGTGTAATGTTGTTGATGCTGTAGATATTCACGGAGAGGTTTGCACAGCGTTTGGATGATGAAGAGCTCAGGGGTGTCGTGCGGATCACCTGGAAAATCGGTGGACTGCACTTCTCCCAGACACAAAGTGTTTTCAGTCGGTTTGCATCCAAGAATGATTTCATCACAGTGAGTGACGCACATCTCAAAAACCTTTAGTCTTTCAAATACACCTGTTCACTTTTTGTCCAATAGCCAGCTGGCCTAATTGGCACAGAGACGGATCAATTCAGCTCAAGTTCATTTTATGTATTAGCACCAAATCAAAACAACTGTTACCTCATTGGGCTTTATATTGTAAGGTAAAGACCCTACAATAATACAGAGAATCTGTATTATTCTAAAGCATCTGGGAAGGAAAAACTCCCTTTTAACAGGAAGAAATCTCCAGCAGTACCAGGCTCAGGGGAGCACAGCCGTCTGCCCTCCCTGTCTGGGGCTGAGGGGAGGTAGGCAAGACAAAAACCACATTGTGGAAGAGAGTCGACTAATAATAATAACTAATGATTAAATGCAGAGTGGTGTATAAACACATAGTGAGGGAAAATAAGTGAATGAAGAAGAAGCATTCAGTGCATCATGGGAAGCCCCCAGCAGCCTCGGACGAATGCAGCATAACTAAGCAAGGATTCACGGTCACCTGATCCAGCGTTAACTGTAAACATTTAAAACAGGAAGGTTTTAAGCCTCATCCTATCAGGCTTCTCCTTTAATGTTTCTGCTGTAAATAACATAAAATAACACAAATTTTGTAACTCATCCTTCATGATAACGCCTCTGATTTTCTATGTTTCCAGGGTGTGAGGGGAATCAGGTATTTGGGTAAAGGGACCTACATCGATTGTGCCCTCAGAGAAATGGCAAAGGAGATACAGAGCTCACCCTCATACCCCAGGGCCCTCCGATTTGCTGTTGTCATCACTGATGGTCATGTGACTGGAAACCCGTGTGGGGGTATTAAGGTGGCAGCAGAGGAGGCTCGTGACAAGGGCATCCATATCTTTGCTGTGGCAGCATCGAATAACATAGAGGAGACTGGGCTGAGGGACATCGCCAGCTCTCCAGTGTCCCTCTACAGGAATGAATATGCAGCTGTGAACTTCAGCCAGAACAGAGTCACGATAGATACCCCAACTATTGATCGAATCATCAAGACAATGGTAACTTCCAAACACACACGCATAAACAGTCACAGCTACTGACAGCTACTGCTAACGTTTTGTGTCCTTTGTCTTCACAGAAACATCTGGCATATGTAGAGGTAAGACACACCTGAGAATCAGAAGAGGATCAGTTTATGAGCTGCCTTCCTTTATCTTCACTGACTGTCTCTCCTTGTGTCTTGTGAACCGCAGTGTTACAATGTGTCCTGTCTGGAGACAAAAGGGCCTCCTGGTCCAAAAGGCCACAGGGGACAAAAAGTGAGTTTAACACACACACAAACACTCATGCTTAGAGCACTTTCACCTATGTGACTTTGATCCTCACAAATGTTTTCTCGTCTGAACTCGATGACTGCAGGGAGCTAAAGGAGACAATGGCGAGCCAGGAATAAAAGGAGAAAGAGGTCGCCCAGGAGACCCCGGTATCGAAGGTCCAATCGGTCAGCCCGGTATCAAAGTAAGAAGCCACACTTTCGCCTACCCATCATCTTCATCAGTGCAACTCTTAACATTGATTTAGGCTTTATAATGACACATGGTTTTCTTTGTCCCGTCTCTGTAGGGAGAAGCAGGTCTAAAAGGCGAGAAGGTGTGGCTTTTGGATTTTTTCAACTATGAATGGGCTATGGAGATGTTTGAAAATGAATGAAAGTAACGTCTGTGTTTCTTATACATAAAATGACTACTGACTTTTGTCTGACTACAGGGAGAGATTGGAACTCAGGGGAAAAAGGTATGTCTAATCTAACGTCATCTCTAAATAATCATTAATGCTGGAAGGTGATTTGCTTTTCTCATCTAACTGTTTCCTCTTTGTTCTCATTAGGGTGTGGCTGGCATCCCAGGACGCAACGGGACAGATGGGCAGAAGGTAGGACTCAAGCAGTCTTTCCTTAAATGCTCTTATTTTGAAATGACGCTCCCAGTTTTTGATCATGGGATGCTTTTCTGATGTATTTGTCGTTGTCTTTAGGGTAAAATTGGGCGAATCGGCGCTCCAGGCTGCAAAGGAGACCCAGGCGACAGGGTATGTCACGTCACTGATTACTATTCAAAACTATTATTACATGCTATCTATTTATGGTCTGTTTTTTGATGGTTTGCAGGGTCCTGACGGTCACCCTGGAGATGTCGGTGAACGTGGTCCTCCCGGATCTGATGGAGACAAGGTAGATGGTCGCTCCTGCTGTAAAAATAATAAAATTAAAAAATCTATAATTTGTTCAAGAGGTGATGAAAGTCTGCTTAATTGTCTTTAGGGAGATCCTGGGCGCCCTGGAAGATCTGGTCCGCCTGGCCCAGACGGAGATCGTGGACCAAAGGTAAATTCTGTACCAGCAAACAGACAGAATAGCAGCATGGAAGTCACATTAGTATGATCAGTGTTGGAGGTGATAGACTAAACTCTGGTGTTTCATCTGCAGGGAGAGAGGGGAAGTCCTGGATCACCTGGTATTCCTGGAGCGAAAGGAAACACTGTAAGATGCATCCCCACATAAATAACAAAGTCACACTCATTCACCTGCTTCAAGGCGCTGATTGCTGTGTTGTGTGTTTTTAGGGAACCTCTGGAGTCCCGGGTGTTCAAGGCGAGAAGGTGAGAACACCTATTTCATTTGCCAACAGTCGTTCTCCTGCGAGCTTTGTCTTTATGTGGCATCACAGCTGCCATGCCTTTTTTTGTTTGTAGGGTAGAAGAGGAGACTATGGTCCAAAGGGTTCACAAGGGCCTCCAGGCACTAAGGGAGAGAAGGTATGTCTTTATGTACACACTGACACAAATCGTAAATGTCAGGTTCAGGTGGTTTGGTCTACAGTAGGTGAGCAACTCATCAACATACACATGCAAAACATAAAACAACAGATAAGCAAAAGAAATGAATGCTGTTTTGTACTTTGAACTCTGCCAGCCTTCATCAAGAAGGAAGAAACTCAAAGTCAGTATGCAAAGGATGCGAGTGGTCAAAGTAAGATCGAAGCAGCCGACCGCTGGAACTGTCTGGCCTCAGCTGTGGCTCACCAATCAGCCTTTTAGACCAGTCAACAACTTAACTGAGAGGTTTTTTTGCTTACAAATAAGCATCTGACCTGCGCCAACAAGGAAAAGGATAGACTAAGAAAAAAGAGTTTCCTCAGAAATGACAGTCCAATCAGTCAGTAAAGGCTCCAAGATTTTTACAAGACTTTTTTGTAAATATTTTTTACATGTCACACTGACATCTACTAAATCATCCAGGACAGCGCTGTGGTTGGTCTTATCGTCTGAGGTCCCACTAACTTTTGGGACCTTTTGTAACTTTTACATCACCTACGTGATGAATTATTCGCATATCCTCAAATGATTTGTCTCTTAAATCGGTTTTATTATTCCACCACTGGGAGGCTGAAGGGCGTTTTTTACTGTGTTTCAGGGTGAAAGTGGGCCTGAGGGCCAGAGGGGCCTTCCCGGTGAAACAGGAAGCGATGGGGCAAAGGTAATATGAACTGCGGTGTCACATTCATTGATTCATTGTCATTGAACACTATACAGTCTTGAGCTCTTTAATCTACTTGAGTTTGTTACATGTGCACTTTTCTTTGTTCTGAACAGGGTGATGTTGGCTTGCCAGGACCTAGGGGACCAGCAGGCCCACCAGGAGAGAAAGGAAGAACCGTGGGTTAAAAGTCACATTTGAGAACTATATTTAAAAGTCCCTTAAAGACATATATGTTAATCCACTCTCCATTTACTCTGCTTGTATTTTAGGGCAGCAGAGGTGACCCTGGTGATGCTGGACCTAGAGGAGAGCCTGGAAACCTCGGACCAAAGGTTAGACTCTCCACGTTTGTTTCTGTGGTAGCTGTCTTCATAGCTGCAGTTCCTTGTTTTAACTCTTTGTTTTATCGCTACTCAGGGAGACAATGGAAGAGCTGGCTTTAGCTATACGGGATCAAGAGGAGAACCGGTAACTTAGAATCAATGCGTTAACACTGCTTATAGTTTCTGCCTGACATGGCCAGGTGATGAAATTTTCCCCGATAATACGCAGGGTGACAGAGGAGACAAGGGTAAGCGTGGACCTCGTGGCACCAGAGGTGACTGTGGTCAAAAGGGTGAACCTGGACTTAAAGGAACTCCAGGACAACCAGTAAGTAGCACCTCGGATGAAGTTTGAAGTTTCTCTTTCGCTCAAAGGAAAGCTGTGTGATTTATTTCCTTCCAACAGGGCGAGCCAGGGTCCCAGGGTGAACCTGGATCAAGAGGCCCAAAAGGAGAAGCTGGGCGTGATGTGAGTACACAAAAAACAAACAGACAGATCCATAATGTAGTTGCATTCGCAGTGTGATATTTCGTATTGTTTTTTTGCAGGGAGATCCTGGCCCTGAGGGGGATCCCGGCCTCACTGTGAGAATATTGCAACCAACTACACTTTTATTATGTCAGCACAAACACATGATGATGATTTAATGATGTTTCCTGTCTTTTCCTGCAGGAATGTGACGTCATGAACTACATCAGAGAGACGTGTGGCTGCTGTGGTGAGTTTGTTTGCCTCTCTCTAAACATTCATGACATCAAAGTGCTCTGTCAGATTGTCAGACCTTCACAGCGTGCTGCGTTTTCATCTCTAGACTGTGAGAAACGTTGCGGACCGCTGGACATCGTGTTTGTTATCGACAGCTCAGAGTCCGTGGGTCTCACCAACTTCACCCTGGAGAAGAACTTTGTCATCAACACCATCAGCAGACTGGGATCATTTGCCAAAGACCCTCTGTCAGACACAGGTAGATACAGCTGTCAGGCTTTAAGTTCACATTTTTACAAGATAACTCCCAATTACACCTGTTAATAAGATAGCCACGCTTGTTTCCAGGCACTAGGGTGGGAGTGGTTCAGTACAGTCACAGTGGAACCTTCCAGGCCATCCGGCTCAACGACCCCAAGATTGATTCATTGGCTGCTTTCAAGGTCTCACACAGACGGACACAAACACATGTGTCAGTTTATTTTTAGAGTAGAGAGGAGATTGTTCTTTACACCAGATGTTTTTTTTTAATGAACTAGGCTGATCAGTCTGCACATGTTCCTCTCAGTACGTTGCTTAGTAGTGTCTGAGCTGCAGAAGATGGAATTCACCATCATAAAGCAAGTGTCTGGCCACATATGATGTTTTTCTTATTATAAACAAATCAGAAAAGAATAAAAACGATGATACACTGCATATAACAGGTTGATCAGCCACTGTGATGTCACCCATTGACTTGGGGGCTCTCATTTTAAAGCTTTCAGTTTTACATTTTAGCCAGTGCTATTTCAGTTTTTTAAAAGCACATGTCCCAGGCCAGGGATGGATCATACTCAGATCTTGGATTTCAAGTTAATACTGAAGCAATTTGCAAGTTAGAAGGCTACCACGCCCAGAGATATGCCTCATTTATTTCATTTTCATTAGAGCTTTAATCAACAAACCCAACAACACGTTGGATGGAAGATTTGAAACTTAGCACTGAGATTTTAAACTAGTTAAGAAAGTGTTTTCCAGACATCATGAATCAAATTTTAAAAAAGCAGAGTGATTTTCCCAGACCTCTTCACAATTGAGGCTTAGACGATCTGCCCCCTGCTTGGCATTAGAAAGAATGTAAGAAGTGTAATCCAGCTTCTCTCAAAATATTGTTTGTTACAATTGCTGATTACATTTGGTAAACAAGTTTAAATTTGAACTTGAATGTGGTCAGTGCAAACTTTATCCTATTTTATTACATTAGGGTGTGTCTGAAAAAAATGGAAATAACTTCTGAATCTGAACAGTGATGTCAACACAGCAGTACCTTAAACCTGCATTCTTTCTAATGGCCAGACGGGGGCGACTCATCTGGTTGCAAAAACAAATCTGTCTCTATGAAAGTTTATGGGAAAATGTATCCACTTATCTATTGACTCATAGCCTTGAAAATCACTTCACTGTCAAATTCATGGTCCCATGTGCTAGTTTTAAGTCCTATTTAATAATACAGAGTGTTCATTTTGTAATTTATGGTTCCACTAAGAATGAAAAAGATAATAAAACAGGGTATAATTTAGGGATAGTGCCTTTCTGATCTGCAAGCTACTGTAACCTCTATAACTATAATTAAGGTAAAATGCTTAGTTTCTTACCGACATCCATCCTTTTGCTTGTTTCATTTCAAAAAAACCAAGGCAGTAAATGACAAAAAAAAGGGATTCAACAAACCATTGGGTGTCATTACAGCCTATAATTTCACCTCAGCACATATTACCATAATTGTTTTTATAGAACAAGGCCGTAGTCAGACATGAAGCGCCTTTGTAAAAATAATGGTGGTGATGTGACATAATACGCGGCAAACAACTCTCATACTGTCGTCTCCATCGCTCAGGATGCAGTAAAGCGTTTGGAGTGGATCGCAGGAGGTACGTTCACGCCGTCTGCTCTGAAGTACGCCTACGACAACCTGATCAGGGACAGCCGCAGAGCGAAAGCCAACGTCACTGTCGTCGTCATCACCGACGGACGCTTTGACCCCAGAGATGACGACAATCTGCTCACCTACCTCTGCAGGTGCTACTGGGGCTGTGGTTTGAGATTCATTTTTTGTGAAAAGGATCATTTTTATCTCATCGATTGTGTTTGTGTGAACCAATGCGTGTGAGTAGAGATCCCAACGTTGACGTGAGCGCCATTGGTATCGGAGACATGTTTGAGCAGATCGAGGAGAATGAGAGTCTGAAGAGCATCGCCTGCCAGAGGGATGGTAAAGTAATGGGAATGAGACGCTTTGCAGACCTAGTGGCAGAGGAGTTCATTGACAAGATCGAGACCGTGCTCTGCCCAGGTAAATACACAGAAATATTCATTATGTGCAGCATGTAGTGGACTAACCATCTTGTTTTGTTCTTCATGGTTTGACATATTCGCTATCTTTGTTTTAGATCCTTTCATCGTGTGCCCTGATCTGCCTTGTAAATCAGGTAGGATTTTTTGTATAAGTCTAAGTGTCCTGTTGTAGCTTCACTTATTCCTGTAACATTTATACTACGCTTCAAATTAAGTTACTTTTTGTTTTGCCTTATTGAAAGTTCTTCCATCGAGGTACTTTTACCTATTTATACAAATCGCCCTGCATTTCACTTCAGTGGTGGCCATTTACAACTTAAATACCAATAGATTTGCCTTCTTTTTGAAGCATACTGCCCCGTTAGACTGCATTAGGATTTGGTTGCAATTTGTTAAACCGTGCGAGCAGTAGGTCAGTAGAGATCATTACACCTCCTTTGTATTGGTGCGATTACATTTTTTGGCTCAATCTAAGAATTTTCAAGCAACTCAGTGTACCTCCGACATCTCAGTTGGCTCTGTTGGTGCCTCGTGTTTGTGGGACCACGCCCACAATGTTATTCCGCCCACTCGTTGCAGGAGGGGGCATCTCTGTGGGGCAAGCCCCACCCCCCTGGAAGCCACTAGCCGAGGAAGGCAGCCCCTCATTGGTCCCCACCTCTTTGGAGGGTGTGACCAGCCTGCTGAACGGCCTGAGCGAGCAACAGTATGGGATTGGTGTGGCGACCATGGCGTACACAGCCCAGAGAGCCAAACTCGCCCAAGGAGCGGACAGGCAGCAGTGGACCCAGCTGTTCATCAACTCCTTCAAATATGTCTATGGGGACATTATGGGGGACCCAACGAAAGCCATAGGACTTTGCTAATGCTAATATGCTAACCATGCTACCTCGCCATTATGGATGCCATTGACTAATAAGCTTACTGCTGGACAAAGAATAGAATTTACTCAAACTGTGGGCATTGTTTTATTGTTTAAACTATGCAGGTGAAATATACACCTGGGCTGAACTGCATGATATGAAGCTGGTCTTTTACTAAGCTTTCAGAGAACCCTTTGTGTGAATTGACTTCAGTCAAAATGTGGATTCATGATCCCTTCTGGCCTCAGAATATAAATATAAATATAAACATTTATGGATATAGCACCGTAATCCTGAGTATGTCTGTTAGTAATATGTACAGATCACGTATTTCAAAACATTTTCAATTGAAATGGAAAATGAATGTCATGCATTTGTTGGAGGCAGATTTGTCTACAGGGCCGTTCTTGTTATTCGGTTACAGTTGATGGAGCCTCATTTTCACTGTGAATCACTCCGATGACAGTTTTTTTTGCTGTTTTGCACGTATCCATGGTTACAGCCTTTATGTTTTTTTCCCCTGTGAATGAATCACGTCGGTGAAAGGCTGTTACATGTGGAAAATATCTGGTTTTACACAATTCACAGCATACTGTATGTGAGTCAGAGGATGGTGTATGTTAATGTTTGGTTAAATGAATTGGCACCGACTGTGAGGGAACTATTGTATGATGTGCCCTTGACTGGTGCATGTTTTTCGGGGGGATTTTTTTTGCATGTGGCTTGGCTTGCAAAGTAGGATGACTTGAAGAAAAGGACCACAGAGTGGCTTCAATCCAATGTCATGTTATTGTTTTAGCTCTGTGACTGCAACTTGCTGATGTGAACATTGTTCACGTTGTTCATTTTGTTTCCTGTAAAATGGGATACATTCATATATTATTTTTATTTTAATGTCTAAAGAGAATAAACTCAACGAGCAAACTAAAACAGTGCTTTATTGACAAGGCCGGTCAGAATCTGGGAAGGCTACTCAAAGAAATACTGAAAGAGCCGGACTGCAGCTGGCATGCATGGAATTACAGCATGTTGTTGTTAATATGTGTATATATATTTTTGTTGTTGTTGTTGTTGCGGGCTTTGACTCTTGAGCATCTGTTTTCCAGCTGTAGCTCACCGAACACCCTGCTATGTATGTATGTGTGTCTGTTCCAGAGCCTGCTGTGGCTGCTTGTGTTCAGCGGCCAGTGGATATGGTGTTCCTCCTGGATGGTTCTGAGAGGATGGGGCTGGAGAACCACCGCAGGGCCAAAGAGTTCATTGAGAATGTGGCTCGCCGTCTCGTCCTGGCTACCGGCGAAAATGACGATAGGAATTCCCGCCTGGCTTTGTTACAGTACGGCAGCCCCTCGGAGCAGAGGGAGGAGTTCGCACTGACGCATAACCTCACAGTGATCTCCGATTCACTAGCAGGCGTCACCTACATGGATTCTTCCTCTGCTTTGGGCAGCGCTATCATCTATGCTGTCAACAATCTGGTGTTCAAGGTATAACAAATATACACATCTTATTTTTTTTTCATTTGAGAAGTCCAGACCACTCCCTCCAGCTGTTTGAGGTGACACGCAGCTTGTGTTCTAGCCAACACCCGCTTCTAACTGTAAATGGCTGAAGGTGCTTAATGTCTAAATTGTTGTGTTACTTAAAAATTAACCTAAACACAGAGACTTTGAAGGATGAAGTCAGTGAAGTCAGCTTGAGAGATCAAAACTGTTTTTTACTCTGTTGTAGCATTGTTAACTCTGTTGTAAAGCTCAGCATTTTAACAAGGGAGTCTGTGGGGATTGACTCACTTTTAGAGCCTGCCTCATGTGGCCAGACGAGGTACTGCAGTTTTTGGCATTTTGGTGTGTTGTTTTTTTTTGCAGTCCTAGTGGTTGTCTTTTTGACTCCCTGGAGTTTTCACTGATTGACTGATAATCTTCTGGCATCACTAATGTCGCAAGTATGGAGCAAAAAATGCTCAAATGATACGCGACTTTATTATTTGTTTTATGTTGTGTTTGTAGGGCAACAGTCGCTTGTCACGCCGCAACGCTGAGGTGGCCTTCGTGTTCATCACTGATGGCATCACAGCCAGAGAGCAGCTGGATGAAGGTGTGAGCGCCATGAAGAGAGCGGAAGGCGTTCCCACGGTGATCGCCATGGGAAGCGACACTGATGAGGAGGTGCTAAAGAAGGTGGCGCTCGGAGACACGTCAGCCATCTTTAGGGGAGACGATTACGCCATGCTGAACAAGCCGGCCTTCTTTGAGCGCTTCATCCGCTGGATATGCTAGAAAGGAACTGTAAAGCTAGAACGAGAATTCATGGGAGGAAAGAAGGACCAGCTCCTTCAGCGTACATGTAAACACACCCTCACAGACCACACCTCTGTGGTCACTATCATTACTGGATGGAAGGCACTGAGGGGGCTACATATCCTGTCATTATGGGAGAAAATTAATTTACCAAAAGCAAAAGCAGTCTATGCAGGACCAACACACACACACACACACACACACACACACACACACACACACACACACACACACAAAGACATGCAGTATCATTTGTATCAGTTGTTCTTTTAATCTCAAATCTATATTTTCAGCCAAAGACCTCCCAAAGGAGAGGTACGTGATTTCTGAATGTGTACCACTTTATCAGTAGGCTTTATTTTGTATTAATTTTTGGTTTGCCGAAACACATTTTTCCTCCCTCTCTCACAGACGTGTGCACACACACAGTCCTTTTTTCCAGGAAGTCAGTATTTACTTAAAAGGTGCTAAAGTAGAAAAACAAGGACAAAGCCATTTTATTTGGTATTGAATGTGTTTTTTACTTCATGTTATGCTGTAAATGTAGATTGATCAGGGCATAAAAACATGTAGACATGTTTCAAACACAAATTACACACACAAATGCATATTCAGTAGATAATTGCACACTGATTAACACGCAAGCCTAAATGAACCAAATCTGTAAACCTGACGTCCAAATAAAGCCTGATATTATGATCCCAGCACTGTCTGTTGTGTCTGCCAGCCTGTTTGTAATTTCTTTGACACCAGTGACTTTCCTCGGTTTTACGCAGTAACTGTTAGTCAGCTTGCCTCCTGCTGGAACTGCTGGATAATGATTCAAAGCAATAAACTAGTTCTTTATATTGTAAAGGAAAATATATTTTGCTCATTTGCTGTGTATTTTTCTTTATGTATTTTAATTATAAAGGCCTGTATAAAAGAAGGACAGCTTTGACTCACAAACAAACTGCTTAGCCAGACTGACACTCTGCAGAATAGGAAGCTTTCATGCTCATAACTCTCCGTAACTAACAGCGGGTTGTATTTTTTCCCCCATTCACCCAGAGCAGGTGACATTAAAAGACAGGGTCAGCTTCTCTAGCAACCATGTGGATTTAAAAAATTAAATGTATAGACCACACCAGCAACATTTACATCCATATCCTATAGACACCAAAGAGAGGGGTGTATAAGAAGGGTTAGCAGAAGTATGGACATTATCAGCTGTCAGATTTTTTATTCTTTTGGGACAATGTTTACATTTTAGTAGAGGTAGTCAGATCTTTTTGAAAGGTATTGAGTGGTTTCGCTTTCCCGAGCCTTGACTTGATGCAAATAGACTGACCATGTATGATAAGAGTTTTTAGGAGTAGCTTAATTATTTCTTCCATTTCTTTTGTTTTTCATATTTGCAGTTGGTTAGCAACTGTAACAGTAGAATGGCTGTCACAATAACAGTGTAATGCCTTTTTACCAATAATGTAGTTTGGGCTGTTTCTTATAGTTACAAAGGGCTTTCAAAGTTTTTACATCAGAAGCCGATCCTGTTGCAACCCTCCCATAAAGGACTACTTTTTAGCAGCCCATCTATGACCCTTGGTGCAGTGGTGTAATTCCAATAGAAGACAATAGAATTATCCTCAATGAGCACACATTACAATCAGTACTTGGCTGATTAGAAAAGAGGGGGAAATCCCTAAAATACACAGCCAGAGAAATACACAGCCAAAACAGTAAATCAGTGGGTGAAAATGCTCAATGATTGCAAATGCAAATGTTGAATTCTCTGGCAGCTGCTCTATTCCCATGTTGTTGCAGTATATTAATGACTAACCTCGTATTGTGGATGGATTATCTCAGTTGTTCTCCTGACTGAAGTTTGGTCCGTTTACAGCATCATGCCATGCCATTGCATTTGTTTCTAACCATGAGGAACCTTCACGTTAACTTTTATAAGTGGAAAAGTGTTGGTGTTCGTCCTCCAGCTTCACTGTTTATGTTATGCTAACATAGCTGTGTCGCTAGCGATCACGTAGCACATCATTATATACCAGCTAGCCCAACTTCAGTAACCCTACAAACGTCATTGCTGTTTAGTTTCCTGTCTTCATTTATGTTGGAAGTGATAGCAGAGCTGTACGTTTGAATTTTTTCAGAAATCTCTCAGTCAGAACATGCTATATCATGCTTAGGTAACTAGCGAAACTAGCGAGCTAACTTCCGCTAGCTTCCTGCTAACTTCTAACTCCGTTAAATGTAATAACTTTTGTTTTCATGGATGCCTGGAAGTTAAACTTTATAGTTACACCTGGTAAAGCAGCAATGCTGACCGTTTTATTAAAGATGAAAGAATTGAGACAGTTTTTAACTCAGTGATGCTGCAGTGTTCGTTTGACCTGAAGAATACGGGGTTTAGGACCCAGATTACTCCCAGATTTAAGAGCATCTTAGTCCGACAAATACGACAATAACGACGGCCGCTTGCATGTTCTGCAAAAAAATGTGCTTTGTCGTGTATCTGACGGACAAACACCAAACCAGCTCCACATCACTGAAGTTGCACCATTTTTACAAACCAATTCTGGTTCATCTGTTTCGCTCAACAATCGGCCACGTGCGTATGAAAACAAAGGCACTGCGCATGCGCGTTTTACTCCCATTCTATCGCGATATTTCATTTTCCTATCGTTGCCTAACATTATACCGGTATTACCGTGAACGGTATAATATGGCCCAGCCCTAAGCTCTACTGCAGCACATGTAAAAACCTCCCAACACAAATAACACCAGTTGTGTTCCCAGTCTGAGATTTATTCTTTGATATAAAGCTGCTACAGTATAAAATGCAACACCTCAATGCGAGATTCAGATTTAGAAAAATAAAAGATTTAAAATGATGAGAGAAAGATGGAAAATATAAAGGAAACATTTTAAGAAACATAATAAGTAACTCTGATAAGTAATCATGCATCCCTAGTTGCACAGTAAGATGTGCTGGATTTCCATGATGACTTCAGGTGCACTGAGGTTGCAGCACAAGTTTCTTTCTCAGGGTGAATCTCACTTCAGGCATCTGCTTGGCCAACAAGGAGGTCTCTCGATGTGCTACATCATCGTTCACGTAGTGGAGGATGGAGACGATGTCTTCGCCCCTAAGAGCATTTATAGAGATACAAAAACATGTTGATATCACTGTCAGGGTCAGTGTGCACATGTGTTTGGTGATTTTAAAACAATTACCTGGGACAGCGCTCCTTCAGCTGCTCACAAAGAGACTGAACGAACCAGCTTCCATCGACTATATGTCTAAGTGAAGCATGATCTTCAACAGTGGCCATGGCAACCAGAACATCAGCTTCCTCAGGGATGGTCAATGGTGAAGTATCATCATCAATCTCCATATCGTTCATCTGCACTGCACGCTGTATGTTACTTCCTTGGCAGGCCTGGATCAGGAACACTTTGGGCTTACCAGTGAGGACGGACTGGTCACACCCCCTGAACTTTCGGGTAATTTCTTTAATGGGGAGGGGGTTCCTGTCAGTTCCCAAAACTACACCCTTTTTTCCGTGACTCAGAATAGAGCAGATGAAAGCATCACCGTGCTCAAGGACCTGCTGAGGATCAACAAAGCTGCTGCCATCCCACTCTTTAAAGTTGAACTTCTGCAGCTGAGACATGTCTGCCAGGGAAGCAACAAACGTCAGCGCCTGATCCATCTGATCCTTGTTCAGGTCTTCACACATCAGCACTCTGAAGCCCAGCCAGCTGAACACCTCTGCCAAGCTTTCTGCAAAAAATGTAATTAGAGAAAAATATTTAAGCACCAGATACTAACAAGAAAGAATAAAAAATCTGCCCCTGAAACTTACGGGCGTCTTTATCTGTCCCTCTTCTCTGTGAACCATCCTTGAAGTTCTTATTGTTTATGATCACGAAGAGGCCGACGGGCCGGCTAATAATTTGATAAACATCCTAAAGAGTGGACACCAAGATTTTACATGTGTTACTACAGGATGCGTAACCACAGAATTTCATCTACATATCTGCCTCAAGCGATGTCACAAGTGTAGGAGGCTGTTTCTGCATCAGCATCTTACCTGTGACATATTCCCATCTTGTGGCAGAACATCTGAGGGAAGAACAATAAAACTGAGGTAAACAACCAAACACAACAGGAGACACAGTGTTTGTATACTGTGTTAGGTGTGTGTTACCGTGCTGATGGACAGGCTCGGATAAAAGGAGGGTACAACTCAGCTGTAAACTCGCCAGCTGAGGGAAAGTTTCTTTAATGGCGCCATCGGTTTGCAGGAGGTTCAGGAAGTCTTTGCATTTATCTTCTCCTTTATTCATGATCTTATCCACGAGGTCATTGACGTATGTCTCCGCATTTGCGTTGTTGATGCTTTTAAGATTGTTGTACTCCCGCTGAGTGATCAGGTTATTCTCATAAACTTTGTTGAGAATTAGCCTGTAGTCTCCGGACAGAATCTCATGAATGGCTGTTTTATTGCTCCTTATTGCATTTTGGGCCGACATGCTGAATCTGCGCAAAGGAAAGAGTCAGAGGTGATCCTAAACACTACTGTCTATGAGAAGGAAGTGGTTTATTACAGCTTACTATCATAATAATAGCCAGTGTTGGGACCTATTGCTGTGTGATTTATTACTATTACTGAAGGTCCGCGACTCCGAACTGTAGTAAAGGGACCTCTGACTAATAGGGCGGGGCCCTGTCGGCTCATAGCCGAAAAATAGCTTTACTTTGTTGTGTGGGTCAACTTTTCTTGCAAGAGACAGAGAGAGGTGTTGAAAGACTGCTCCAACGGAACTTGTTGTTTTCGGAGGAAAACACGAACACGGTGTACAGTCGAGTCTTAATAGCTTACTTACAACTGGGCTCGTCAGGCACTCTTCTTGGCTGCAGTGGTTATTATATTTACATGCTTCCAGCTCCCGTTTTTCCTCGACGATAACTCGTACCTTTCCACTCCCCTTTTTCTCCCTCCTCGCACTCACAGACCCATAACGTGTATGGCAGTCCATTCTCCCTGCAACACGGACTACACTGCCCATGATGTTACATTCTTTAGAGCTATGCTTGTAGCATTCTGCCTATTAGCTTAGCACAACAACAACGAAAAGGCGCTCTCTGTAACTGTATTCTGAATACCACCTTTTTAAACGGTAATATCATATTTTGTATTCTAAATACGATAATAGCTGCACATTATATTACATAAAACATAATTCTCTTACGGTCAGTTGGAACTTCTGCTGTCCTTGAAAACGAAACCTTGTTCCTTCTTTCAAATAACATCCCGCACAAAACTATCCCGCCTTCTGAGAACAAACTGGGAAGTCACTCAGATCCTCCAATAACGACTACACGCTATACAATAGCGCCCTCTACTTTTGGACAGCAGGAATAACAGGTTTACAGCCTTTGGTATAGCACTGAAAAGAAGCTGTGCTGCAGCATCCCCTGTCGCAGCAGAGAGTATTCCCCACAAATCCCCCACCCTGCTGCAAAAACGCACAGTATTACACAAACATAACATATTTTGTAAAGTGTGTTGTTTTTGTGTGTATACCGAGCTTCTTATTAACTGCACGCACACACTGATCTCTGCTCCGCTTCCACTTTATTTCTTATTCTTTTTTCTTGCCCTGAAGCTTCTTGCTCGCCAGTGAATTACACACATTGCAGCGACACAGT